AAATCCTAAACCCTAAATCCTAAATCCTATATCCTAAAACCTAAATCTTAAATCCTAAATCTTAAATCTTAAATCCTAGACTAAATATTGAAATCCGGAAGCTTAAGAGCAGCCACACGAAAAGAAAGGAGGGGACCTCGAGATTCGCAACTGGCCTTGTTTAAAAGGCACATTTTATGAACAGAATTTGTCATTCGAAAATCACAAGGAAAAATCCAAATTTCCGGAGGCTAAATCCTAAATCCTGAATCCTAAACCCTAAATCCTAAATCCTAAATCCTAAACCCTCTCTCTCAAATGAATATTTAAATGTTGAGCCATGTTTTCGAACGGGACCCCCCCAGTGTTGCACCAGGTTTTCGAATGGACCCCCCAGTGTTGCACCAGGTTTTCGAATGGACGCCCCCAGTGTTGCACTAGGTTTTCGAATGGACCCACCAGTGTTGCACCAGGTTTCCGAATGGGGGTCCATTCGAAAACCTGGCTCAACACTGGTCCCCCCGTATGTTGCACTAGGTTTTCGAATATGCCCACAAGTGTTGCACCAGGTTTTCGAATGGACCCCCATTCGAAAACCTGGTGCAACACTGGTGGGTCCATTCGAAAACCTGGTGCAACACTGGGGGGTCCATTCGAAAACCTGGTGCAACACTGGGGGGGTCCATTCGAAAACCTGGTGCAACACTGGGGGGTCCATTCGAAACCCTGGTGCAACACTGGGGGGGTCCATTCGAAAACCTGGTGCAACACTGGGGGGTCCATTCGAAAACCTGGTGCAACACTGGGGGGTCCATTCGAAAACCTGGTGCAACACTGGTCCTACCAGGGGGGTCCATTCGAAAACCTGGTGCAACACTGGGGGGTCCATTGGGTTTAGGGCCTCCATTCGAAAACCTGGTGCAACACTGGGGGGTCCATTCGAAAACCTGGTGCAACACTGGGGGCGTCCATTCGAAAACCTGGTGCAACACTGGTCCCGAAAACCTGGTGCAACACTGGTCCTAGGGGGGTCCATTCGAAAACCTGGTGCAACACTGGGGGGTCCATTGGGTTTAGGGCCTAGGGTTTGGGCTTCAGGGTTTAGGGCCTAGGCACCCCATCAGCAGAGGAGGCCGGATCTGGCCCAAACCCTGGATTTTGGCTCCAAATCTGGACTTTGGGCCCGAAGTGGCTGGTTTTGGGCCTGATCTGGCCCAAACCCTGGTTTCGGGCTCCAAATCCTGACTTTGGGCCAGAAGTGGCTTGTGTCTCCTGGGAAACCCTTAGAACTCCATAACATTAAGAGCATACAAAGTTTCAATTCATTCACAGCTTAAAACCATTATCGCCCCGCCTTACAGAAAGAAGCATGTCGCTCTGGTATCAACCAGCGAAGCATAGTTGAACCCAAAACTTGCCAAACTCTCGCTCTGGCATCAACCAGCGAAGCATAGTTGAACCCAAAACTTGCCAAACTTTCGCTCTGGTATCAACCAGCGACGCATAGTTGAACCCAAAACTTGCCAAACTCTCGCTCTGGCATCAACCAGCGACGCATAGTTGAACCCAAAACTTGCCAAACTTTTGCTCTGGTATCAACCAACGAAGCATAGTTGAACCCAAAACTTGCCAAACTTTCGCTCTGTGGTCACAAATCCAGAAAAAACTCATAAGTGTACTCCCCTACCCACCCTAGAGCCTTCTCTGACATCGCAATATACTTTGCGCCTGTATGTACTCCCCTTACAGAAAGAAGCATGACACATTTCAGGCCGGAAATGTGTCATCTTTTCCGCCTTACAGAAAGAAGCATGACACATTTCAGGCCGGAAATGTGTTATCTTTTCCGCCTTACAGAAAGAAGCATGACACATTTCAAGCTAGAAATGTGTCATCTTTCCGCCTTACAGAAAGAAGCATGTCGCTCTGGTATCAACCAGCGAAGCATAGTTGAACCCAAAACTTGCCAAACTCTCGCTCTGGCATCAACCAGCGAAGCATAGTTGAACCCAAAACTTGCCAAACTTTCGCTCTGGTATCAACCAGCGACGCATAGTTGAACCCAAAACTTGCCAAACTCTCGCTCTGGCATCAACCAGCGACGCATAGTTGAACCCAAAGTCATCTTTCCGCCTTACAGAAAGAAGCATGTCGCTCTGGTATCAACCAGCGAAGCATAGTTGAACCCAAAACTTGCCAAACTCTCGCTCTGGCATCAACCAGCGAAGCATAGTTGAACCCAAAACTTGCCAAACTTTCGCTCTGGTATCAACCAGCGACGCATAGTTGAACCCAAAACTTGCCAAACTCTCGCTCTGGCATCAACCAGCGACGCATAGTTGAACCCAAAACTTGCCAAACTTTTGCTCTGGTATCAACCAACGAAGCATAGTTGAACCCAAAACTTGCCAAACTTTCGCTCTGTGGTCACAAATCCAGAAAAAACTCATAAGTGTACTCCCCTACCCACCCTAGAGCCTTCTCTGACATCGCAATATACTTTGCGCCTGTATGTACTCCCCTTACAGAAAGAAGCATGACACATTTCAGGCCGGAAATGTGTCATCTTTTCCGCCTTACAGAAAGAAGCATGACACATTTCAGGCCGGCAATGTGTTATCTTTTCCGCCTTACAGAAAGAAGCATGACACATTTCAAGCTAGAAATGCTTAGAACAAGCAGGCAAGGGTGTTGACACTATAGGGAATTTAGGGTTTAGGCATGTCTATACTGCAGCACTAGAAACATAAGTATCCGTAGAAATCGAGTTGTAGGGTTTGAAGTTTGATGTCGTCTGAGGGTAACGAAAAAAACTTTCTAACTCTTATGTTTTGGGATTCTTTGGGTGGGTGGGTATTCTTCCAAGTTCTTACTAGCGAACTTGACTAGAGACTGCTCGACCAGAGCTGCTGAATCCTAAATCCTAAACCCTAAATCCTAAATCCTAAATCCTAAATCCTAAATCCTAAATCCTGAATCCTAAATCCTAAACCCTAAATCCTAAATCCTAAATCATAAACCCTACATCCTAAATACTAAATCCTAAATCCTAAATCCTAAATCCTAAACCCTAAATCCTAAATCCTAAACCCTGAACCCTAAATCCTAAATCCTAAATCCTAAACCCTAAATCCTAAATCCTAAACCCTAAATCCTAAATCCTAAACCGGAAGCTTAAGAGCAGACACACGATAAGAAAGGAGGGGACCTCGAGATTCGCAACCGGCCTTGTCTAAAAGGCACATTTTATGAACAGAATTTGTCACTTGAAAATCACCAGCAAAAATCCAAATTTCCGGAGGCTAAATCCTAAATCCTAAATCCCAAACCCTAAATCCTAAATCCTAAATCCTAAACCTTGAATCCTAAATCCTAAATCCTAAACCCTAAATCCTAAATCCTAAATCCTAAACCCTAAATCCTAAATCCTAACCCAAAACACCCCCGCCAGAGCAAATGGATCACGGTTTAGGGTTATTATATAGCTACGCTAGAGGCGGCCCCGATACGGCGGTCCCTCGTTTCGAAGACTTCCCGTTGGGGTCGGCCATGGGCTTTACACCGTTGACCTGTGCAGGTCAGACCGGGGAGGCTTTACCCTCCCCTCTCCGCGTCCCGCTCTTTCGTAGGGGCGCTCGGGCTGTTAGGCCCTCGGCCAGAGCGCTCGGGGCCTGTCGTTCGACGATTTCGGCCCCTCGCTTAGTTTAGGGTTTAGGGTTTAGGGTTTAGGGTTTAGGGTCTAGGGTCTAGGGTCTAGGGTTTAGGGTTTAGGGTTTAGGGTTTAGGGTTTAGGGTCTAGGGTTTAGGGTTTAGGGTTTAGGGTTTAGGGTTTAGGGTTTAGGGTTTTTAAGTCTAGACCTTAGAGTAACCTAGGAATAAAAAGGGTGCCCTTTTTGGCTTAGACGGGGATATAAGGGAACCTAGACCCTAAAAAAAGGGAATAAGGGCTTACTCTGGGTCCTAGGTTTAGGGTTTAGGGTTCAAGGCTTGGGGTCTAAGGTTAGGGTGCTCTAGCCGACACCGTAAGCCCCTAAACCTTCAAACCTAAACATTTGATGCATGCATGTAAGGCCCTACACGTCCTGACTAAGCACCCTGGGAAGTCGCCTCCTCCTCCTACTACTACCACCACCACCACTGCTACTGCTTCTACTCTACTATTGCTACTACTACTACTACCATACCACTACCACTACTGCTCTTCTGCTGCTGCCCGAAGGCGCCTCGCCTCATACATTGGAAAGTTTGCGTGGAAAAAGGCCTCGTAAAGGCCGAACATCCTTGGCATCGTGGTTGAGCGCCAGGCCAAGCAAAGAAGAAAACCGACGCCTACTATGTTGAAAAGATGCGATCTCCTGAAAACGGGCTTCCATTCCCTACTAACCAAATGTAAGACTCAAGGGACTCCTTTATAGGGATGAGGGCCTCAGGATTTAGGGTCTAGGGTTTCGGGATTTAGGGTCTCCTTGGCCCTTGGCCTTTTGCATCGGTGCAGAGCGGGCGGGTCCAGGAGCAGGCCATCGCACGGCCACGACCGAAGCATTGGCCGTGCCACTTCGCAAGAACACGGTCTTGCCTTGGATCGCCCGGTAAGCAGCAATGTGTCAGGGTTCCTGAGGCCTCCTGCAACAAAAAGGCCGCCCCTTCCAGCAGAAGATGTTTCAGCGTCTGAAGCTGTTCCGAGGCTGCAGGGCCCGAGAGGGCAAAATCGGATTCGCTCCGATCTTCAAGCCTCAACGCCGGCTGCGAAACCACGAGGAGATCGCAGACAACGCATCGCCGCCGGAAGACTGGAGAATCTCTGCATTTGTAAAGCTTGCCACCCTTTAGAACCCTTAAAGAAGCAAACTTACACGTTTAATCTGCCGCGTTCGTTTCAAGAGGGTTTGGGGGTATAGTATACGACTATACCCCAAGTAACATGGACTAGAATCCCTAAACCCTAAACCCTAAACCTTAGAACAAGGAACCCGAGGGGCTAGAATTCAAAGCATTCAGACCCCTAACCACAGCCGATGCACCATGTTCTCGGTCAGCGTGATACCGGTCACCGCAGTCAGGCCAAGGTGTACCTGCCCGGTACCCTGTAAGTTTATACAAGGCGTGTTCGGGGTTTTATGGGGCTCTTTAATCGAGGTTTGATAAAGCCTCGAAGGGATTAAAGTTTTATCGCTTCTTTGTGTAAGAGCTTCTGTATAAGGGTTTTACAACGTTTCGAAAGGATCTCAACGCTCCATAATTAATGTTTTTGAAGGGTTTCCACGGGTTTCGAAGGCTTTATAAGTCGCAATTTCCAGAACCCTGTGGGATCTCAAAAAGAGTGTTCCTTAGTCTTCATAGGTTTTTTGCCAAGAGTATTGAAGCTTTGCAGCGGTTTGATGGGTTGCGAAGGATTTAACGTAGCGGTTCGGGCTTGGGGCAGGGTGTACTGCTCAGTGCAGACGACTACGTTTCAAGGCACAGTTTGCGAATTAGGGTTACCGGGATGTTATGGTTGATGGTATAAATCCTGCATTACCTTAACGACCCTAGACTATGGGAAGTATGACCTATTCCTTATTATGCGCAATGCAGGATATATATGTATATATATATCATCAACAGTACGTTGATCATGAAGGGTCTTCAGGTCCGTCTGCTTCTTCGCAAAAACCCGAATTTCAGGCTTTGAAGCGGGTCCCTAAACCCTAAACTCGTAAACCCCTAAACCCTACACCCTCAGCCGTAACTCTAGGGCTTTCGAGCTTGCTGGCTTGGTTCGCAGGATCTTCCACGAGTTCCATCAAGCGTTCTCCCAGATTGGGTTGGGGCTCAGGATTTAGGGTTTATGGGGTTCAGGGTTTAGGACTCTAGGTTTCTACGGTTTACAGGCCTAGGGTTTTGGGCTCAGAATTTCGGGTTTTGGGTTTGTGGTTTGGGTTCACCTGGTCCTTAAAGAACTTGCCTGCTGCGGGATGCTCATTCTGATTTCCGTTTTCAAATCCTTAAACAGGTGTATGTGTGTGTATATATATATATACACACATATATAGAGAGAGAGAGAGGTTTTTCTGGGTCAAGGTAGGATTCAGGGGCTTAGGCTTCATCTTCCCCGGGATTAAGGCTTGAGGATTTAGGGTTCGGGGTCGAATTGGACTGTGTGGTGCGCAGACTCGATGGAGAATCCCTAAAACCGGCAGCGACCATTCCGACGTGGTTCTCTAAGATAACCTTGGTGCGGAACTTCCAACATACTACTGCTTCATCAAACTCCCAAGTTATTCCTCAGCCCCTGTAAAAAAAACCCGTTTGGAGCTCCATAGATCCCCTATAGAACCCCAGAAAAGGACCGCTTCAGAGAACCCTATCCCATAGATTAGCCTCTTTCGAAAACCCTGAAGCACCTGCACGTCTGCCGCGGTGAGGCCGTCAAAGTTGCGAACTTGAAACACAACTGTGTCCCCCTCCGTCATGTTCAAGGTGTCCTGGGAGGTTCACGGTTCAGGGTTTAGTCTTTAGGGATTATATAAGGCACCTCCGATAAGTTAAGTTGAGGGTTTGTAGGGGTTGGAGTCGGGGAGCAAGGGCTTTGCGAGTTTCATAGGATTCGAAGATGGGTTCTGCGTTTCCGAACGTGGTTTGCAGTAGTCTAGGATGGCACTCTCAGTAGCTAGATCTATCGGTAGACGGTAGCCAGTTCGCAGTAATATTTGTTACTGTCACGAACGGTAGCAACCACAACAGGACATTGACGTGGCTCCTTCTTCAGTGCAGAACCCCAAACAAGCGGCCTTCACAAGTAACATAGAGCTGTGTGGGTATAGTGTAATACAACTGGAAAAGGAACCCTGAGGAATAATGTTTTTCTGTGTTCTGTGATGCCTCCGCGACGACGCGTCCGAGAGGAACATATATTGGTAATTATTCAGGCTTCCAAATTATGCCGAATCCCATGCACCTCCTCGCACCAAACCCTGAATTTGTGGGCTTCGTTGGCTCTCTTTCCATGGGGAGCTCATGAACCCTCCAGCGGGGTGGGCCAGGAGGGGAGCACCGAGTCCTCTCCGTTCACGAGCACGCTGTCGATGAAGGGGGTTTGATCCTCCCGCATCGGCTTTAGAAGGGTTCGAGAATCTACCCTAAGGCTCCATAGTAGTTCCTTTTTAGGGTTCATATTTAGACTCCTATAAGGTAACCCCAAAAAGGACCTACTTTGGAGCCTCTGGGTATACGGCTCATTGGAGGCTAAGGCTTAGGGTTTAGACGTAGTCTGAGGTTTGGTATTCAGGAGCAGCCTTGGTGGTGCAGATACTGTGACTGTTTCTTCGAGGGATCATACTGCGGGTCATCAACCGCAGCTATGTACGTCTTCTATTTTCTATTAGCAGTGTAGAGGTCAGGACGGCTAAGGAGTTGAGGCTTTGTTAAGGGGTTGTTAGGGTTTACGGTTTGGGGGTTTAGGGTTCAGGGTTTAGGGCTCAAGGTTTCAGCCCACTGTTTGCAGTGTTTCGGGTTTACAGGTCGGGGCTCTAGAATCAGACACTCTGTCAAAAAAGGTGCAACCTTTGCCGTCACTCGGGTTCTAGTTGGGACCTTGGGCAATTCAACATGTGATCCTGAAAGTCTTAACCCCAATGCCCCTAAACCCGACATAAAAACACGGGGTAAAACCCCGTCCCTCTAAACCTAAACCGAACCCAGAGGGTCCGAGTACCCAAATAGTAGGGTTTTAGGTCCCAAAATCCATACTCTGAATGGTTTTTGGACTTCGAAACCCTACTATTTGGGCACTTGGACCCTTAGGGAAGCCATCAAGCCCGGAAAGCTCCCAAACCCTGTTATACACGCAAGCCCTACGCCATTGAAACACCCTAAGGGGAACTCCAGAAAGTTGGAATATGGTTTCAGGGTAGGATACCCTATAATTTACCATAAATGGTTTAGGATAATGATATTCCAACTTTCTGGCTTCTACTATATATGATACAACTCTCATAGAACCCATACCAGGGCCCTGTCTGTTCTAACGTCGCTTACAGAACCCTTCAAAGAACCCTTAAGGGAACGCATAAAGGGACCCTTCAAGGAACCTGGACGGGAACACTTAAACTAGGTTCCTGAGTAGCCCCATTGTAATGAGGGTACCCTTTCCCCTACTGTTTGGAATAAGAGGACCCTCAAATCAAACGGGCAAAAGGGTACTACCCAGGAACCTGGTCTTAAAGGAACCCTTCAAGCAACTCAAAAAAAAAACAAACCCTAAATTTTGAACCCCTAAACCCTGAAACCCTTAACTTTAAGGGACCCCTATAAACCCTAAACCCTAAATCTTAGCACCTAAACCCTGAACCTTAACCCTAAGACTCAAAATGGCCCAAAAGCCTTACATAATATGGTCTTTGGGCCCAAAAGCCTTAAAATACGAGCCCTTAAAGCCTTAGGGTAACCCTAAGGGAACCCTAGAAAAAAAAACTCCCAAGGATCGCTCCTCGGCCAGGTACGTGAAGCCAAAGGGCGTCTGAGGCTCGGCGCCTTCTGCTTCGCGATGCTTGGCTAACGGGGCTTGGGTTTAGGGCTATAAGGTTCTAGGTTGGCCCCTCAAAGCCTTTGAAAAATGGTCCTACTAAGCCCAATAAGGGAAAATACAAAATGTCCCAAAGGCCTACCTAGGGTTTAGGGTTTAGGAAATAGGTTTTAGGGCTTTAGGGGTTTAGGGTCTTAGGCTTGGGGTTTGGGCGGCGGGTTTGCTTACCTTTGGCTAGTAGGGAATGGAAGAATGGTAGTAATAGTAGCTATAATTGTGCCCCATTCCTCCATTCCCTGAGTTTAGGGCTTACGGTTTAGGGCTTTGGCTCTAGCCGTAAACCCTAAACCCTAAGCGCTAAGCCCCAAACCCTGAACCCTAAGCACTAAGCCCTAAACCCTAAACTTTCACAGTCGGGTTTCCGCTTGGCAAACGAATCCCTACTTGGAGGGTCGGGGGACTTAGTAAGTAGGTAGTAAGTAGACTTATAAGTACACTAAAAAGGGACCCTAATTGGGGTTATGGTACTTTAAAAGTCCCTGAAATAACCAGTTACTAAGTCCCCTAAACCCTAAATCTAAACCCTTACAGAATCCGTATAGATCCCTTTAAGGGAACCCTAAAGGAACCCCTTATAGTTACTAAGTCCCCCGACCCTCCAAGTAGCGAACCAACTGCCCGGGCCTCACCGGCTCTGATGCTTATACCATGCTCACACTCGGCCTCATACTCACCTCATCCTCATACTCATGCTCATGTGGCACCTGAGGCTCGCACCACAGAAAGCTGGCACACGGGTGGTGCTGATCGAAGATCGAAGTGCTACCTGTAAACACTCGCCGTCGTCATTCCGGTAACTCATTGTGCCACTTGTGGAATTTGTTGCTGTCCCACTCCGTGTCGTCCTGGTCGGACTCCTTCGGCCACTCGACTCCTCCCACCATTGCTCAGAGTTCCACTCTCGAGCATGGTCCAGAGAGAAATCGCAACTTCTTCGTGCTTAGGGGTTGGGGGTTTAGGGTTTAGGGTTTTGGGGTTTAGGGTTTAGGGTCCGGGGTTTAGGGTTTAGGGTCTAGGGTTTAGGGTTCAGGTCCGTATCCTGGAGAATGGAGAACGCAGGCACACACGAGTGATACTATAGGGGCCTTGACAATTAGAAGTGGGCTTCGCGACGTACTTCAGGAAATGCAAACGGAATACCGACTTCCCAGGTGTAGTGCTGGTCATTCTTCGCTTACGCCCTCAACACTATGTATGTATATATATATATATGTACATATATATATGTATGTATTTGTATATGTTTGTAAAAATAAGTATTTAGATCTATTTGTATATGTACATACATATAGCACATATAAATATACAGACACGCCCACACACACACACACATTTTCGCCGAAGCAAACCTTTTCCCTGCCTGTCTCGGCGATCTGCGCCGTGATCATCATCGCCTTCTCTGGTGTGTAGAGGCCTTGGATTGAGCCCAGAAATCCACCACGCGGTTTAGGGTTAGGGGTCTTGTGGGATTTCTATCTTGTAATATGCTTGTAGAAGCCTCAGTCTGTTGAATTCTGTTGTTTTCTAGTGAGTGGAGGGGTGGTTGGAATCGAATGAATCACAACCTTACTACCCGGATAAGCCACAAAAACAAAAGGTTAAACTTTCCCAGTCCTACTAAACTATAAGAACCCAAAAAGTTCAAAGGTTGGGTATTGGGGATCTACGCAACACTGTGACTTCACAAGGTCCCACAGGATGGTACGGCCTTATGTGGAGGCCTCGGAACGCAAACCGTCATTGCACTTAGACGCAAAAGGGCCTGTTTTAGACGGAGAAGCCATCGAAAAACTCCAAAAAACATAACAATGTGATGTCGACAGGTTTTAATGGCAAGCCAAAACGACAAGTACAAAACATCAAAATCTGGAAAGGGCTCTTTTGGACGCCTTGTCGAACAAACTGAAACACTTCTGTAAGGGTGCTGTAACACTAGGGTCCAAAACAGCAACTTACATTACTGCTATCCCAAACCCATCAATTGAACCCTTAGCGTAAGGCTTTTAGGCCCTAAGCCCGTGAAAGCCTCAACCCTGAACAGAAGCTTCAACTACTGACTTCTCTGAAGCCTCTGTAGCCTAAAGGGTCCACATGCCCAAACCATAGGATTTGGGGCCCCAAAATACCATCCTCTGAATAGTTTTTAATTGGTACCTAAACCTTACTGCTTGGGTACTTGGACCCTCAGGCTGAACCCTACACCCTAAACCCCTGCAGTAGAAGCCAGAAAAGTGGAACATCGTTATACTCATGCCCTTAAGGTTAGGTTTAGGGAATCCCAGCACGAATCATCCTAAATTCCATGTTCCAACTTTCATGGGCTCACTATAAACCGCTAAACCCTGAACTACCAAGCGCTCTAGGCCAGGCGACTCATGTTTTCAATCTCCGCTGGGAAGAAACTCTGCGCGATCGAGGACAGAACCGTCGGCGGCTGGTACACCCTGTGGTCTTCTTGTGTTGTGTGTGGTGGGGACCGGAAGAGTTATCAGTACTGCTTCTTAGGGTTCCCTGATATCACTATAGGGTTTCTTCATCGAGCTGTACTAGCTGAACTTTCTTAGGGTTCCTGGATGTATCTGTACTATACGGCAACTCAAAACCCTATCCAACTGATGAAGGCCCCTGCAGTCTATGCCCCCTTAGAACCATAACTTGTCAAAATTATGGTCCCTTTTTGGGGTCCCTAATATAGTACGGCACCTACTATTTAGGGTTCCCATAAAGGGATCATAATGTTGACAACCGCCCATAGATTACAGCATCATAATACAAGGACTATTAACGGTGTACTGTCACCAATTCTTCAGGCCTTGACTTGAAAAGCCGGGTTGAGAGGTCTGGTTTGCTTGGACTGGGGTGATTTCGGCTTGCTGTCCGATGGCGGGTAGACTGGGAGTATGAATCGATAGGGTTGCAACATCATGAACCCAGCACCGCAAAACCTTGCTTCCAGCGACCCGAAACAGCCACAACCCCCAAAGAGGACTTGCTCCAAAAGCCCAAACGCGTTGCCCAAGAAGCTGCAAGAAACACATCCTGAAACCTCTAAAGATCTAACAGCTAAACCCTAAACCCCCTAAACCCTTAAAGCCCTTAAACCCTAACCCCTCAAACTTTCCCCACCCTTTGCCCGCAAAAAACTACCTCCGGCCTGATGATCTCTGGCTCCTTGACGAGGCCAAACCGAGACCAAGCCCAGTACTCCACGCCTCGGAGGGTGTTGGGCAGTTTTGTGTGTGGGTTCCTGAGTAGCCCCATTATATTACGGGTACCCTTTTTCCTACTATAAACAACTTAAGTAGGGGGATTCTTCTTATTTGTGGTATGAACGCTTCTGCCCTACTGAGATCGGCATTACCACATGCTTGCTTTGTTGTCGTTGCTGCCGTTAATACTTGAAAATTTAAAGTGGGTGCTAGCGCCCTAAACCCTAAACCCTACTGGGATTGGATTCCGGCTAAAGTTCCTGCATTCCGAACAAAACACCCAAGCTGTGGTGAACGATTGAGATCCCCATACTACAGGGATCAGCGTTCAGACTCTCGGATTTGGGGTGAAAGAAGGTTTAGGGTTTAGAGTTGGATTCTTCAACGAAAGGGCTGTGAGGGGATACTACTAATTACCAATGATTCGGACTCCCATGAACCCTAATTGCCATGGAAAACTCCAGAACCCGTGTCATCTAGAGCTCTTGATATCTCAGGCTGTGTGTTTTGGTTTAGGGTTTGGCGTTGTCGGATTCGAGGGTTTTGGGGTTCCGGGTTTAGGGCATTGAGGCTTCGGGGCTGCATGGCTTTAGGGTGCTTTAGGGCTTTCGGGATCGGGAGCCCGGGATCACCTCTTGGGTCTCTGCATGCCGAGGATCTCGTCAGGTCGAGATGCATAGGGTAATTTCAGTGTTTAGGCTTTAGGCTTGGGGGGTTTATCAGGGCCCTTTTAGCCTTTTTTAGGGATTGAGGGTCTTAAAGTTTACAGTAGGGTGTGAAGGTTCAGGGTTGAGGGTTCGAGGATCCCATTTGGCATTTCGTATGGATTACTTGGATGTAAGGGATACTTACGTTACTGCTGCAGCCGTGCAGATGACTCAGTTAATATCTGCTAGATACCTGTGACTAGGTTACGTCTTAAGCTTGTAATTCCAACATAGGTGCTCAAGATCAATATTCTATGGGTTTAAACCCTAAGGTTCAACACTCGAAGCTCAAAGCGCTAAGTCGTAAACCCGAAGCCCCTAAACCCTATAGTCAAAGCCTCTACATGCCTCTAGTATAGGGGCCTGAACCCTAAAACAGTATAGGTAATTACTAATGCCGCCCCTAGATTACAGTATGTTCCTCGGGATCGCGCTGCCATCGGCACCCTCCTGCAGGAACTGACGCCTCTGTCCTCAGCTAAGCTGGGGAGGAGCACCATTTCGCTAGGATGAAGATTCGGGTTCAGGGTTTAGAGCTTTAAGGCATACGGCGTAGGGAGGGCATCTGTAAGGCTTTTATGGATAGGAAATTAAGTGCCGGCAGTCTCCAATCGCAGTTCCTGTGCTTGATTAGCCACTTCTATTGCTAGGACCCTATTATGAAAAGCCGACCAAGGACGGAAGTACCATGGCCAAAGGATTTTAGGTCCTATGAATCAACTTTCCTCATAGTGTAGCTTTGCGGGATTTGTTATGGAGGCTCGGATGGATTGTAAATCAGCTCCTTGATTCACTGGCCTTGAGCATTCGACCATTTTGAGGTCTCTCGCTTCAGAAGACAGCCCAAACCCTAAACTCTAAGCTCATGACCTAAAGCGCGACCCTGAACCCCAAACCCTAAACCCTATACCCTATAAACGCTACACCCTAAATCCCAAAACCCACAAACCCCCTAAACTTTAAACCCTAAATGCCAAACCCTAAACCCTAAACCCTGTACCCTATGAATGCTAAACCCTAAACCCCCAAACCCTCAAACCCCCTAAACCCTAAATGCCAAACCCTAAACCCTGTACCCTATAAACGCTAAACCCTAAATCCTAAAACCCTCATTCAAACCCAAACCCTAAACCCTAAATCCCATACCCGAAAAAAGCTTAACCCTAAACCCTAAAACCCTCCGAACCCCCTACCCAGAGGCCCCATAGTAGTTCCTTTTTGGGACTACCTTATAGGATTCTATATACGAACCCCCAAAAAGGAACTACGTTGGGGCCTTAGGGTAAACCCTGAATCCTGGGGACTTCGGGTTTGCACCGCTGCCATGTACCGCAGGAGGACTTCTCGAGGACCGCCCTTCTTTAAAGGGATCTATAAGGGTACCTTTAAGGGGGTCTATAGGGTTTAGGGTTTAAGGTGATGATATAAATCCTGCACTACATAAAAGGGGCCCGAAACTATGGGAATTATGGTAGAGTCCTTATTATGGGTAATGCAGCATTTCTATCATCAGCCATACCGCCTGCTACTTATTCCGGGGGCCTAGCGGTTTGGGGTTTAGGGTTGAGGGTCTAGGATGCAAGGGCTTCATGATCTCATGCTTTCGGGCGTCTGTTGTGCCGGCTTCAGCGATGGGGGTTGGGGCTTCAAACTTTAGAATCTCGGGCATAGCTGAGGGTTTGCTTTTGTTGAATGCTGAAGGCTTAACAACCACATTAGCAGGACCCGGGATGTTGATCAAGACACTGGCAAAACGCAAAGCAGCAACCGCCTTAGAAACAAAATGCAGCACCTGCTTGGCTGGTTTGAAGACTACTTGTTCGAGCAACAGCCAGAGTCAGTGCCAACAGTGGCTGTAAGTCTAGTAAAAGTAACAGCCATGAGTCATGACAAACACACTGGCTAGATGCCCAGCGACCCTTTGATAAGAACAGTGCCCTATTTCCCATCATTCCAATTTACCAAGGAGGCTACGAACCAAAGGGTCATATGATGGGTAGTTGTCAAAATTAGGGTTCCTTGTTGGGTCCTTATTATAATACGGCACCTAATATTTAGGGTAGCCAAGAAGGGACCGCAGTTCTGACAACCGCCCATATAAAGGTAATGCTGGGAGAACCCTTAAACCCTGGTACGGCTGATGATATAAACCCTGCATCACCTTAGGGACCCTAAACTATGGGAATCATGGTATATTCCTTATTATGGGTCATGCAGGATTTGTATCATCAAAGGGAGGACCCTTGCTGGGCCTCTCAACATGACCTTCAAAATCACTCGCCGAGCGCTGCTCCAACCCTGGACCCACTTTGGGGATGCCGAGCTATGTTAAACCCTAAGCCCTAAACCCTAAGCCCTAAATCCTAAACCCTAAACCCGACCGGTAGCTGAAAAAAGTCGACATTTTTCGTACTCCTCATCACGACAAGTTGTTGAAAATTAGGGGCGAACAGGTGGAAGCACCCCCAAGCGCCAAGCACCAATCGCTGAAGCCCTAGACCCCACATCCCATACACTAGCTATAACAAGGAACCCGAAGAAGCATGAGATAGCTAATTATATCAATTACTCAGGCTCCTAGACCAGGCGCCTCACACCAGTATAGCCGTAAACCCTATAGTGTCCAAGGAGCCAGTACGGAACCAGGTACCGCATTGGCAATCCAGGTTCTGGACACAGCTATAGTCTGGGTTCTTGTTAAGAAATTTAGTTCAAGTTACCATTATAATTATGGGGATCTATAGTAGAAAATATGGTTTCCTTATGATGGTAGCTTGAATTAAGTTCCTCAACAAGAACCCAGCAGTTTGGGGCTCCGGGACTCAGAGATTCAGGAGATTGGGCTCAGGGCACAGGAGTTTGGGGGTGCCTAAACCCTGGCCTATTATGCCTAAAACTCCCATGACCTAGTTTTTTGTAGGTTCTTCAGTATCGAATATATACGGAGCCATCGAAACAGTAGGTTTTGGTAGCCCAAGCAAAGCCTGAAGCCCCCAACCTCCCGGAATATTTCGGCTTCGGTTTTCAGGGAGCTCGGCGTTTCACTTCCCGCGGTTTCTGGGTCAGGTGTTCAGAAGAGGAGAGACAAGGGCTGCGGGGGCTTAGCATCACGGGTAGACGTGGGAGAAGTACAAAAGTTGGCTCAGCTTCAGCTTCACGCGGATGTCTGTAGATTGAACCAATTGGTCAGCGGTAGCCCCGAAAGACCCACCGCTTCCGAGCATCACGACGTCTCGAACGACAAGCGTCCAAACGAGCACGTAAGCACCATTCATTGAGCCAAACGTCCGAACCACCCGACCCAAACCATAGCTTTGTCTGAATCTTCAAGCAAGGCCTCCAGAGCAGGAACCCCTAAACCCCAAACCCCGAAACCCCAAACCCCGAAACCCCAAACCCCTAAACCCCTGAACCCTAAGCCTCCATAGTCGTGTACCGGAAGTGCCCACACTCTAAGAAAAGATGGGTTCTTTAAGGGCAGGGAACCTTGATAAGGGCTCCTTTAGGGTTCCTTTACAGGTATCTTTTTTGCATTTTTTTGGGGGGGGGTTCCCTTCAAGGGTTTAGGGCTTAAGGATTCAGGATAGGATTAAATCTAGTGGTTCCTTTCATGGGACTCCATGTAAAAGGGCCCTTCCGGGCTCCTCCTTTAGAGAGTTTCCGGTAAGCTATCCAGTTCCTTAAGAGAGACCTATAGAGGCTCCGTTCCTTAAGGGGTTCCCTTCAAAGGCTCCTCTGTAGGGGCCTTAAGGATTAGTTCGGATAGGCTTTGGAAGCCTCAGCTCAATACACAAACTAGACCCAAGAGCAACCTAGGAATAAAAAGGGTACCCTTTTTGGTTGAAAGGGACTTATAAGGGAACCTGAACCCTAAAAAAGGGAATAAGGGCCTACTCTAGGTCCTAGCAAAGGATTCGGTACATTAGGGTTCAGGGTTTAGGATGAGGGTTTACAGTTGTAAGATTCGGGCTTTGTTATACCCACGAAGTGTGATAAAGGAACAAGTGCAGTATGTAAGGGGATACTACTATGAATCAGTTCGAATACCTGTTTAGCGCCGGGAGAAAAGCTTGGGTGTAGAGCGTAGGGTCTGGGGTTTCGGGGATAGGGCTCATTGTTTGCGGCATGTGTAGGATTTTTTGGCTTAGGCTTTGGGGTGCATGGTTTCTGGTCGTCGCATCTGTAAGCAGGGGCATTGTCCTCGTTGTAGAGCTGCCAGATCTCGAAGAACTCCTACCGACAAGGGAGCTGCTTCCCAGTAATGTGCCCCATGTAGGGCCTTAATGTTTAGACTAGGGTTTCGGGGAGCTACATTAAGGAACCTCATGGACTGGCATTGGTAAAGAAGTAATCAGGCCTCTATATATATATATATATATATATATATACATATATATATATATATGCTAGAGTCTGTTGCTTGCCATGTTACTTCTGCTGCTGCTCTGCATTAGTGGTATTACTACCAGTAATACACGGTTCATAGTCTTGGATTTAGGGTTGAAGGAGGTAAGGGTTCAGGGATGTTCAGTATTCACAGTAGGGTCTAGGAGTGTAGAACCCGCTAACTAAACGGTGAAAACCGTAATACGGCGGCCTCAATACGTAGAGTAGGGTTATCGGGTAAGGTACATTATCGGGTATTGAGGAACCCTAAGAAACAAGCTGGGCAGTCATTCCGACCTCTGTATCAACAACCTGGAACGTCGCCCTTTTCCCTAATGGCCCCAGACCGCCCTCAACCTTGCTACCCAAATAAGCCACAGAAAGAAAAGGTTAAACTTTCCGATTCCTACTAAACTATAAGAACCCAAAAAGTTTAAAGGTTAGGCATTGGGGGTCTAAGCAACCTAAGCTCTGAGCACGAATCCCGACCACCAATACCAATCCCCAAACCTCCAACGACCAAACAGCCCTTTTTCACTGCCGTGGGGCACCGTCGGCATCCCGTGGGCGACGCCAGGAACTACGGACACGCTGAATAACCGAAGACCAAGTCTGTCTGTTTTGCGACACCTCTAACAACTTAGATTTGATTTCACGTTCCCCCACACCTGCTCTCGCCCCGAAGTAATGGTCGTGAGTAATGGTCATAGCTAACTCCAATATTTTGGCGTTCCACTTATGTCTTCTCGCGCCAGCTCTATACGGGCCTCCTAATGCTTGTGGTTGAAGAAAACGATCGAAAGAGAGAACCCTGGCTGGATGGGTCAAAGGACGTCTCAAAACGTGACCTAGCAGAGATAACTGTTGTAACTTGACCTCGTCAGAGAGATACAGCACTCCCAATTGACTACGAACCTGTTCGTTGGGGATCCTTTCACAACCGATGACCATAGCTCCCCAAGTGGTGGGAATGCCTGCAATTGAACGCAAACATTTAATATGAAAAGCGTCCAACATCTTGTTATGCTTCTCTGTGAGCCACATGGTAGACATGCTGTAGGTCAACTTACTGACGACACAAGCATAATAAATGCGTAGTTTTCTCTCGCGCGAAATGCCTGTGTGTTTCCAAACCCGCATTAGCTTCTTGAAGACCTGCCTGCATTCCCCAATACGTTTAGAGATTTCGTTTCCCGGCCTACCTTGCGAGTCAATGACAGCTCCCAAGTAAACCACAGAGGTGGCCTTAGGGACTTTACTGCCATCAATAAACTTGATTTCCGCCTGACTGTTGTATGACACAAGCTTGCACTTACCATGATTTAGATGCAAGTTGTACTTCGCAGCTTCCGTTTGCACAATCTGCAGCAACGCTTGCAAATGATCACAATTTCTAGACATCAAGACAGTATCATCAGCAAACTCAATATCAAACATGGAAACCGTAGGGGTGACAGCGAGCGGGTGCTCTGCAAGGAAGGTCCTTTGAATGTCATGAAACATGACAGTCTGCATTGCGATAAACAGCAAAGGTGAAAGTGTACATCCTTGTCGTATTCCGCTGGACTGAGTTTTAAGTCCTGAAACCTCACCATCTACAACAACACGGAAAACTGGAGACGCCGTAAGGTCCAAGATTGCTTTGCACATGGTTGGTGGCACCTTCAACCTACGCAGTGCCAGGTGTAATGCAGCGGGTTTGATCGTATCAAAGGCCTTACTCCAATCCAAAAACAGCAAGTGCAGAACTTGATTGCGCTTTGCATCTACAAGGTCTTGCATGCGTCTTACAAGAAAAATAGCATCGCTCGTACTCCTACCTTGCCTAAAACCGAACTGATTGTCGCGGAGCACAGGATCCAGACCTGCATACAACCTTGCAGCCAGCACCCTAGCATACAATTTGTAACAAGTCTGCAACAGAGAGATGGGCCTAAAATTTGAAGGGTCGCTCTCGCAACCTTTCTTGAAGATGCCTATAACCTGAGACTGCTTCCATGTCGATGGGCTCTTGCCGTGACTCCAACAGTCTTGAAACAAGTCCAAAAGAGCCTCTAAGCCTTTGCCGGAAAGGTTCTTCCAAAACTCATTTGGAATATTGTCTTGGCCCGCACTCTTACCGGATTTGAGATGCTTAATGGCCTGAATGAGTTCGGCCATGGTCAAAGGGCCCTCTTCAATATCCGGGGCAGCATGTGGTAAGAGATCCGTGCTGAGATCTTCAACCCCAGGTGATGCTGCAGGAGCCCACTGCACCTGCTCTAGATGCGCGGCATAGATATCTGCATTTGTGGCTGTTGGTGAAATCCCTAAACTTGGTGATGGCTCAAGTCGAACCATCTTTGTAGGGAGCGATTTCTTGAGCTGCTTTATCGGCTCCCACGAATTCGATTGTAGTTGCTCTTCGAGCCAATTTTTCTTGTCCCGTTTGGCAGAACGCTTAATGTCTTTATTGTACTCGGCCACCTGCTGGAGGTCGCCTTGGCTGCGTAGGACACCTCTACGCGTAATCAGATCCAAGGTGCTCTGGCTAATCCAGGGTTTCCTAGGTGCAAACTGGTATTTGGGTATGTGCTCTTCCATGGCCTGAACAAACACTTCCCGGAGAAGGTCCCATGTTTGTGACACATCATCACTACTTTGTATGTTGTCCAATCGAGCTTCCAGGGCTTCGTTCATCTCGCGGATGTTCCTGGGCGAGGCACTATGGAAATCCCAGCGAGGGCGCGGCGCCTGTTGGCGCCTAGCACCCAGTTTGAGTCTCACCTTTGCAAGCAGCGGGAAATGATCACTGTCTACATTCGCCCAAGGATCGGAAGATACATCCCTCACAATATTTCTCCATCTCCGAGGGGCAAGACACAGATCCAGTTGTGCAAACAGGTTGGGGTCCCAAGCGGCAGAGGCATGGGGTAGGGCAGTGGTTCCTACTTCCCTGTAAGTGACCTGCCTGGCGGAGTTATGTTTGAACCACGTGTTGGAAACCAAGAGCTGGTTTTGGACGCAGCAATTGATGAGAAAGCTCCTGTTATCTGACTCGCCTCCAGCTGAAGCTACACCTTTCCCGTACAAGTGGGGCCCCAAAACAAGATCCTCATCGTGCATTCTACCATGGATGCGTGCATTGAAGTCTCCCATAATGAGATAAGGGCCTCGGTTTTCCACCTTATCTACGAGCTGGTTGAGTTCTTCGTAAAAAGCCTGCTTGGTTTCTTCAGTGTGCTGGTTATGCGGCGCATGACCTGTGATGACGGAAAATTCCCCTGCTCCCGTGTGTAAACTGATTCCGGCCACTTTACTACTGCTAGGGAGTGTGCGTAAGAGCGCTCGTCTTGCCGCAGGCGACAAAACAAAACCCGTTCCATAGTGCTCCTGCTGGTCGGGGCTCGCATTACTGAATGTGTAGAAGGTAAACGAATCGATCATGTAGTATGATGTACGCTTGGCTTTTGTTTCCTGTAAACAAAGGACGTCAATGCGCTTTGATGTCATGTACTGGACAATTTGGTGATGCATTGAAGGTTTCAAGAGGGAACAGGCGTTGAGGGTTGCAATGTTGAGTGAACTACCATGAAATAGCTTGGTTAACAGAGGTGAACGCTTTCTGTTCTCAGTATGGTCTTCGTAGGCAAACAAACCCGCGCTCCGGGTGTCTTTCAAGGGCTGAGAGGCAGTTGATTTCGAGCAGGTGAGGCTACCGTTGCCCGGACGGCGCCTGTCTAGGCCTTGTTCAAAGTACCCAACATTCGATTTACACCATCTATACCACCGGCGGTGCTGCGACCGCTTGGTGGCCATGTTTGCTTTTCTCTGTATGATTGCAAGTGCAGACCTCCTACCTCTCTTTTTTGCTGACCGAGTGTGTCTCTGTAGCCGCTGAAGCGTGTGATTATTGCATACAACATGGTCGTCAAAAATGGTCGTGAAACGATTCTCCTTTAAAGATTTGCTTCGCGGTGTGCCCGGCTTGCCTGCTGGGCGGCGCATTGGCAGGTGTGAAGAAGTAATGGTCGTGCAAGAAGTGGTCGTATGTGAACATTGTGCACGAGGTGAATGATTGTTACGGTCTGCGGTTGCACTGTGCAAAGTATGCGTGTCGCTATGTACATTTCACGACGAACGCTTGCCTCCGCCTTTGGCGGGGGTGCGGGAACCAACCTCCTCATCAGCATTCGCCATGTCTACGTCGTCCGAGGGTCTGGAGCTGCGGGAGCGCGTGCTCATGTTTGCGTAGCGTTCGTTCAGCTCCTGCAAAGCGTCATCGGTGAAGGCGATAATGTTGATGCGAAGGTATTTTTGTGGACTGCCTTCCGTCTGGTTGCCCCGGTTTTGCCATGTCGGCCAATCCTCCGCAAACTGAGTCTCAAACTCCTCCTTCTTGTCGTCGGGGACGAAGATGGTCACTTTGGTGGCGTCGTTTGCGTCCGTAGCAACTGCTAGTACCCATTCGGTTTCATACCATAGGGCCTGCAATTCCCAGGTTGGTCGAAATTTGGGGTTGCCGCCGTAGATGGTCGCCAATGCCTTCATAGCGCACTTCATGGGAGCATCTTGTTCACGGCGGTAGCGGGGTATCTGCGGTCTTCCTACGATGGTGTTGCCCTTGATCTTGTGCGGGTCGTTCTTGACATTGTGCAGGAAGGTGTTGCGCGCGTCCTTGTCCCACATGTGCACAATGGTGAAGTGGCCAAGTCCTTGCTTGTTCTTCAGTGTGGTGGTGCCCTGCAACTTGTCAGCTACACCATAGTACTGTGCCATGCCACGGATTTCTTTGTCACGGTCTTGTTCGCTCATGCCGGTCGGCCATCCCATGAGAAGCAGCTGTTTTGACGCCTCAAGTTCTTGGTCTCTATGCAGAAGTGAAGCTGTTTTCGCGGATTTCCACTCAACAGTGTTCAACCTGGCATCCTGCTTCAAAACTGTGGCCTTCAGCGTGTCATAGTCTGCCTTCGTGAGTGCTAATGTTGTTCTCGCTGCTATACTGGCTTCGTCCTCCTCCGGTTCTGACTTCTGAGTCGGTACTTGTAGTGCATGTGCTGGTGAACGCGATCTTTCCCCCATCCCGTTGTGGCGCGAGTGTGAGGGCTGGGGGGTCCTGCCTTGCTAGTCTCGGTCCGAAAGCCTACCAAACAGCCCTGCAAACCCTAAACCCTAAACCCTGGGTTTAGGGTTTAGGGTTTAGGGTTTAGGGTTTAGGTGGACCCTGTAAGCCGCGCTTGAATCTCGCTCAACTCCCGCGTGCTCACCCACTGCAAAACGCCATGAGCGGACAAAGTCTACAAATCCTACACTCTACTCCCCTTGGAAGGTCAGCAAAAAACTACTTTTTCGGAGACCCCTACAAAAGAAGACAGGAACCAAAAAAGGAACAAAGTAACAAAGTCTCCAAGAGCCTTAAAGTACAGAGGCCTTAAAGTCCTTGGCACAGGCCATGCAGAAGCCGTAGTAGCTCAAATGTCGGACTCCCAGAACCCAATCTCAGTAGCCCCGCGTCCCTACAAACCGAGAATCTGTTTAAAACCCAAAACCTACGCCTTTGATCTCTTAACCTGCCTTTTACATGCACAGAAGTTCAGGGGAAACCATTAGAAGGTTCGCAGAAGAAATGCCCAACAAAAAGCGCGGAAAAAGCATACCTACATTGTCCAAAAACAAATTAAATTCAAAACAAAGAAACTACAACGAAAGTAATAACCAGTGTAGGGCCCCTTATAATGAAGCCCAATAAGGTAGGGATATCCCTATAAAATGCTTATGCGCTTTATTCGCTTTGGGTCCCTGATAGTCTGTTTCAAGGAAATCTCCCTAAACCCGAATCCTCAATAAAGGGGCCTTAATAATTAGAATAGGGCTTTGGGCTCCTGTATTTATAATACAGATATCGTAAGGAACCCTAAGGAAAAATGGTGGTAATTATTTAGGCCCCTAGAGTAAGCCCTATGTTTTCCAAGGAAATCTCCCGACACCCCCCCAGCCCCGGGGAGGTCCCCGGGATCGCCACAGAGGCTGGCGCAGCGCTCGGCAACTGCAGCGGTGTCCACAAACTCCCAGGACATGGACCTAGGGTTTAGGGTTTAGAGCTTAGGGTTTTAGGGGTTAAGGAGTTCAGGGTTTAGGGTTTAGGGGTTTAGGGGTTACGGGTTTAGAGGTTTAGGGGTTTAGGGGTTTGGGGGTTTAGGAGAGATTGAGTTGAAGGGCTTTGAGCAGGCATTCTCGGGCTCTTGACTTGGAAGCTTCCAGGGTTTAGGGGTTCATCTGTCTGGTTCTTGTAGGGAATGGGGTCTCTTTAAGGGTTCCTTTAAAGGGTTCTATAAGGGTTCTATAAGGGGTCTTAGGGTATCTATAGTAGTTGTTTGGTTCTTAGTAGGGAATGGGGGAATGAATCTACTATAGGGTTCCTTTAAGGGTCCCCGTTAAGGGTTACGATCAGGGTACACTATAAGGGTTATACTATAAGGGTTATACTATAAGGGTTATACTACAAGGATTATACTATAGGGGTTTAGGGTTCTTAGTAGGCTGTCTGGTTCAAAGTAGGAAATGGGGAATGGACTGTGGAGACTACTATTGGGGATTATATAGGGACTGCTTTTGGGATCCATGTCCCCATTCCCTGCTTAGCACCAGACAGTGATCTGGGGTTTTGGATTTGTGGTCAGGACGCTTAGAGGATTTGTATAGGGGCTTCTGGGGATGCAAAGGTGCTATAATCAAAGGGGAAAAGGAGGGACCCAAAATGGGGACCCCTATCCGATAATCGGCTATATAATGGGTATATAATAGCTATATTAAGGGCATATACCTAGGGGTCCATATTAAGGGTCCCTCCCTTTACCCTTGGATATAAGGTTTGCTGAGGGCGTCTAGGATTCCATCTTTTGTTAAACTTATGCTTGAGGGCTTATGCTTCCAGCAACTCCAGGCTCCTGCTTGGACATGAACCTAAGATAGGGTTTCATAGGGGTTTAATAAATGGTCCTATCGGGAGCTCAGGTGTGCTATAGTGGTTTCGATGAGGTGCGTAGGGTCTGTTTCGAAAGGGCTTTTGTGAGTCTGCACAAGGCGTCTTCAGCCCTTTTGCGCAGGCAGCTTGGCAACTGTTCGTATAAAAAGAGCTTCCTTTTTGGCATCGGGTACCTTAATAAGGAACCTAGGACTACAACAAGGGAATAGGGGTACTACTGGGCATCCTAGAAAAACTTACGTTCGCTGTACCCGTGGCGCCATCTGCTTGCAGTCACGCCCGGTTCAGTAAGTCGCAGTCATACTCGAACCCGGTCGACAACCTCGAACTCCCAGAAGCGTTAGCAGCCGCTGCACGCAGGTGCTTTTCCTACACCTTTTCTTGTGTGAGGACTTCTTTCCCAGCTTTTTGTCAGCTGGCGCTCAAGGGTCTCGTTGATGACCTTCAGCACCCTATTCTCCTGCTTCAAATGCTGCTCCTGCACCTGCTGCATTGTAAGCCCCTGTTCGACGCCGAGGTTGGAAACTGAGTGCCGCTGTGGCAACCTTGTCAGCCTTGGGCGCCTTGTTTTTCCGTGTATGATGCTGGGCAAGCACGAGTTCTGGATTTGGCTCACTTGAGCCAACTTGAGGTTTGTAGGGTTTAGAGTTTAAGGCAGTGTAAGGCTTAGGTTTTCGGGTCTTTCAAGAACTTTTTGTTAGGGAGCCTCACTTATTGCCTCCGAAACTCTCGTGGTATATGATGTGTTCCAGAGGCTGTACCCTGACGTTTCACAGCGTTCAACCACCCTGAACATCCAGAAAGCCCCAAGGGACCTTGGGCACTATAGAAAGCCAGGATGTAACCCTAACCTGCAACCCTGAGTCCTACGAGCCCTACCTGCCAAGATCCTCAACGACCCTGAACCCTAAACCCTAAACCCCAGACCCTAAACCCGAAACCCTAGACCCTAGACCCTAAACCCTAAACCTTAAACCCTATACCCTAAACCTTAAACCGAGCAGGGATGGCGGGGGGGGGGGGGGCTCCGAACCAAATCAAAAACTGCCATGGAACTCGGGATCCCTCAACCCTGAACCGTAAACCCTGGGCTTGGGGTTTAGGGTGAGTTTTTGGTGGGGCTATATGTCCCCCATTACGGATTATAAGTATAGTTACCCCCCTTATAACCCTACTTATAGCTACCCATGAACCTCCAAGTAAACCCTGAGCTTGGGGTTTAGGGCTGAGGGCTGAGGGCTTACTTGCAGAGGTTGGGCCTCTATGTTACCTGCTGTTAGGGGTTTAGGGCGCAGGGTTTAGAGCCTTGGGTTTAGGGTTTAGGAAGCTTTTTTTGAGTGTGCCGGACCTTTCAGTTTAGGAAGCTTCGGGCTTAGGGCTTGGATTCCACCTGAGGAGAGCGGGCTGACATTCAACTATAAAGACTAGTGGCGGGGTATGTTTATCAGCCCCAAACCCTAAACCCTAAACCCTAAACCCCTAAACCCTAAACCCCTAAACGCCAAACCGTTTTAGACTTTAGGGCGGGTATAGGGGTCTAGGCTAGGGCTTCAGGGCTTTGGGTACGCATATAACTATGCTGGCCTTTGAAAGCCTGTGCAACGTATTCGTAAATGAGCTCCTTTTGGGCCCTCTCAGGCAAAATGCAAAATGTCCCAAAGAGCTACGTGGATCAGCGGAACCTTAGTAGGACGGCTTGAACACGGCCCCTGAACCCGAAACCCTAAACCCCGTAACCTGGTAGCCATGGATTTAGGATTAGGGTTCCAAATTATTGCAGTGTTTCAGGGTTCCTTGTATGGGTTCTGTACGGGTCCTATGTAATAATATAAGACTTCTAAGGAAGACCAGGCACGTGTCCGCGTCGCTGCAAGCTTGGCCGACCAAGGAAGCATCGTTGCTGCCGGAGGTGGAGGCCAAACAGAAGCCGGTGCCTCCCCCCAGTGCTCCAACTGTGGCTTCTGTCTTTTTGATTAAGGAACCCAGACCCTCAAGGTACCACAGTTTTCTGCTGGCTCCCTGAGGTCTATATTCGCTTTAGGACCTGTACTTGGAGGCCCTTTTGACTTAGTAAGTCTACTTAGTATCCCCTAGAAACCCTATTATAATCCCCATAACTTACCTTACTAACCCTACTTACTAAGTCAAAAGGGCCTCCAAGTAAGAATCCAGACCTACGTTGCCCAGTGCACAGCAAAAAACCGTGGAGCAGCCCTCCAATAGCCAGTTATACTATACTGAACTTAGAACCCTAGCAAAAATTATAACTTTTAGCTGTTTCTTAGGGATTATAATCACCAAAACTGAAAAAAATCTAAGTACCCCTAAGTATAACGCATCATAATGTCACAGAAGGCCTTGTGAATACAGTAAGAAGCAGCTCAAACCCTTATAGAACCCTTGTAGGACCCTATAAACTCAGAGACACCGGAAAAAAAATAAGAGTAAGAAGCGGGACAGTAGAGGTACTACTTCTCTTGGATAAGCGTGTAGGGTTGGAAAGGTTTCAGAACCAAACCCGAAAAAGCGGCAGAAAGTCCAAGCAGCCTGACAACTAAACCTGGAGTTGAAGGTGTACTTGGAGGTTCAGTGGTACTTCTAAGTAGGGTTATAAGGGGTCTTTAGGGTTCCTTTAAGGCAGGTTCTACAGGGTTTATGGTATGGGGTTTACGGTACTTACAAGTAGGGTTCTATGTAGGGTAACTATACTTATCACCCATATTCGGGGACTACCCCTGGACCTCCAAGTAGGGTTCAGTGTGAAACCGAAAGCCCAAGTCCGCGTGCCACTTAAGCTCAAGACACTTAGCCGCATAAACCAAGAGTAGTAAGCAGGCAGGGATATCGGCAGAGGATAATCAAAACGCGTAGCGGTGCATAACCCTAAACCCTAAACTCTGATCCCTAAACCCTAAACCCTAATTAATAGGGTTTAGGGGCTGCTTCTTCCCGTCTTGGGAAAGTGCAGCGCGTTCCTTCGAGGACGTGGGGTTGAGCTTCAAAAAGACCTCGTGCGACTGCAGCTCCCGCTTCGTCGCATCGTCGATCTACAGTGTATACATGTACATATATATACTAGTTAGCATAGTATATTATTTTCTAGTCTGCTATAGTATAATATGGTCTGCTATAGCATAGTACAGTACAGTATATTTTAGCAGAGTGTTTGATGCTGTGGCCTCCAGCTCGAAAGAGGAGCGTTCTCCTTGACCTCGGCATCCCCGGCCGCTCCCCTTGGATCTTTGCCGCCGACCTCCGGCCCTCGCTCGAAAACTCGTCCAAGAAGTAGCGGTTCACCATAGGGACCCTTAGGGGGGTAGGGGGAAGGGGGGATAGGGGCCCTTAATGCCTTAATGCCCACCATAACGGCGATTCAAGAAAAATATAGTCCACTCTACCCCCCTACCCCTTTAAGTCCTTTAAGGGTCCCTGTGAGTTTAGGCTTTAAGGCAGGTTTATGGGATTTAGGCTCAGCTCGGACTGGCTCCACGACCCGGGACAACTCGGATGGGCTGAGCCAAGCCCTTGGGTTCCTTTAAATAAAAGGGGTCTATAAGGGTTACTATAAGGGATCTATACGGATACTACGATACTGTAGGAACCTGATTAAGAAACCTTGGGTCTTGATTAGGGTTCCTTGTATGGATCCTAGTAGATTGGGGTTATAGGGCCACGGTTTCTTAATCAGGTTCCTGCATTATTCCTCGCTTTCGCAGGCCTCAAAGGGTGGGACGAAGGTAGGTAGGATGAAGGATCTCTTATATAAGGAATCTTGTTCGGGGATTACCCCACCTACCTTCATTCTACCTTTCGAGGCCCATGACGCTTCGGAGATCAGGATCTTCACGTCTCAGATCTACGTTTTGCACTCTGATCGGCAGTTCCGCCACCTGGTTGTGCCGCATCTCACGTGCTTGCCCCCGTCTCTGCCTCCTCTCTTGCCCCTGGGCTTTTTGTGCGGGCGCCACTGCCTCAACCAATCAAGTGCAGTGCCGGACTCAGGTGCGGTGGCGGCTATTGCCTTCGTGCAACAAAGCCATCATCCGGTCAATTTGCAGTCCTGTCAACAGCTCAGGGTTGACCTTAACCCCGAATAACCTACCTGTTTAAGGATTGATATAAAGAAATCATATTAGGGAACCCTAAAAAAAAGAGGAAGGTTCCTTAGGGTCCAGGTAGGGTTTAGGGAGACCTTACCTTTCCTACCACTCTTCTATGCTGGCATGCCCCGTGCCAGATCCCCGTCACTCGCGCGCGCACGCCAGACAAAACCTGTGCCAAAGCGGCCGAAATCCCAGCACGCAAATGCCCAAAGCCCTGAACCTCAAGGGGTATCAGGAACAAAGTACTGTGGGAATTCTTGAGGGTGCTTGTAATAAGGACCCTGCTGTCTTGGATCTATGTAAACAGTGCTTGAAACCCATGCTAAGCCTGCACCCAGGAAAGTGAAGAGACCTCTGCAGCGCCCTTGTAGACCCTTTGAAGAACACTTATAAAACCCTACGCTAGGAACCCCACGCCCTAACCCCTGCGACCATCTGTGCAGAGTTGTGCGTGCCTTGCACCCGGAATTGAGCCGTCTTGTTGTCAATCCTCAGAGTCCAGGAGGTGCTCTCAAAGCCTTTGAAAAATATTAAGTAAGATCCTCTTAAGCCCAAAAAGAGCAAATATAGAATGTCCCAAAGCCCTACCTCAGAATCCGTAGGAACTTCGCTTGTTCAGGTCTTGGATTATACGGGATGGTTTAGGCTTCGAGGGTTGAGGGACCGAAGGGTTTAGAGCTTGTGGTGTCAACTGGGGGCCTGAACAATCAGAATAGGGTTTTGGGTCCCATCATACTGTAGTTATAGTTATTTAGGGTTTAGGGTTTAGGGTTTAGGGTTTAGGGTTTAGGGTTTAGGGTTTAGGGTTTAGGGTTTAGGGTTTAGGGTTTAGGGTTTAGGGTTTTTTATAGGATCCTTAAGGGGGGGTGGTTCAAGGGGGGAGGGTACTAGGGAGCTTTGGGGAACCTTAGGGAAGCTTAGGGAGTATTGGGGAATAATGGGGATTACTAGGTTACCTACCCCCCTTGGACCACCCCCCCTTAAGGACATCCTGAGTTTTGGGTCCCATCATACTGTAGTTATAGTTATTCATAAGGAGCCCCCATAATAGTATGGGAATTTATTTAAGCCCCCTAATATGGAACCCTACTATAGACCCTTTGTAGACCCCTGTAAAGGACCCCTTAAGGGAACCCATTAATTATGAAGGCCTCTGGTGTAGGGTTTCAGGTTTGGAGTTCATCTTCCATGACTTTACCTGTTCTGCAGAACAAGCGCACAGCTTGCGGGTCTTCTCTCCAGAACCCAAACTCAAAACCCTCCGCCTTAAGCCTTAGCGTGATATTGTTACTTACGCAAGGGTGTAACAAAGGGTCCTTAACTGAAAGTACGGCGTGGTTAAGTTTGGAGGCTAAAGTCTGAACATCTACAAAGCTTTGCTGGTTCCCATTTTGCAAAAATGATTAGACCATTCAATGGTCTTTTCACAGGTCTAAAGCCACGCCCGCCCAGCCCCCTAAACCCTCCAGGAAAATTTACAATTCTAATTTCACGTCGGGTTCGTCGCTCTGCCCGGGAAGGGGAGAGTTGACAGCCCGCGGTCCGATGTCTTTGTCAGTAGACTCAAGTTAGCGAACTAATGGGGATGCAGGGCGTAGGGCGCAGATCAACACTTAATCAGAAAACTTCGAAAAGACCGTGCACAACCCTCAAGCACTGAACAACCCCACAGATACCCAAATGCGAATAGTTCAAGCCTGCGTGGGCCCATAGTGCGATTATCAAGACATGAGTGTAACGCATGTCAGGATGTCGTTTGCGCAGCGGCGGATGGCTACTCTTTCCTAGCTGCGGGGTTCATCTGCGGCCCATTACATTGAAACGACGAAACTTTCAAGTCTATACATGAAGGAATGTGCGTATGTAGAGGCACATGCGTGCATTATATGCATATACACATACATACAGACATACATACATACATACGTACGTACGCACAGCATAGGTACATTGACGTGCATACGTACACGGGCACACGCTTAATGCGTACATGCGTACATACATCCATGCATGCACACAGACAGGCGCACAGACAGACAGACAAGTTCTGCCGGTTGTTGTTCACCAGAAGCTGCAGAACCAGACATTGGCAAGCTTGCGATTCCGTAGTCACGTAGAGAAGACAGTGCTTCGATTGAAAGACACAGAACTGCCACTTAAGGGCCTTGAGGGCTTTTCAGTTTTCAGGGTTTAGTCAGGGTTTCAGGCAGGGTCCTAAAGCAGATTACATGATCAACATGGCTGTAGAAGCAGGAAGGAACACCATTAGGAGTGCCCAACGACGGTAACGGTTATCTTCTACTCAGCAACTACTCTGTTCGACGATTTAGGGTTTTGATTTCAAGCTCTGGAGATGTATTTGCATGAGGCATCGCGGGTCTGTCGGGCATTGGTTCTTCTCTAGAGTGCCGGTTTGAGTTTACAAGGTTAGGGCTGGTATGCCAGGTCTCTCGAACATCTGCAGCGCGCTGCTGCCGCACCTCGGACAAATATCTCACAACATCCAACAATCCTCGAAATACCGCGAAATGGATTAAGAATCTTATCACTAACTGCATAACCACTGCGATGGTTGATTGAATAATGTGGACCCCTGATGAATACTGGCCCCTCTCTGAACAAGGCTTATGCTCGGCCTCCCTTAACAAGGTTTATACTCGGAATCTTGATAGAAAGGCCCGAGAAAAAGCGCGGCCTTATCGCGGTGCTCAGCGCTGACTCAATGTAATGCTGGGATAAGCTGAGGTTTGGCGGGCCGTTATACAGAATACTATAAGGGCTTTTCTCTGGGTTGCATGTACAAGCTTTACGATAGGGGCCTTGGTAATGAGGACGGGGCTCTGGGCGAAAATTTTGCACCGTGACTGGCACAGTACTGTCTATGCCAGCCTCTTTGCTGACTTAGGGCTTAGGATAACCAATCCATGAATATCCGAGCCTAGCTGTCGAACACAGCAACCTAAAAATCCGTAAAGCCCCTACCCGAAAACTCCCAAACCCAAAGTCCCTCAAACCCCTCATCTTACTACCCCAATAAGCCACAGAAACAAAAGGTTCAACTTTCCGATTCCTACTAAACTATAAGACTCCAAAAAGTTTAAAGGTTAGGCATTGGGGGTCTAAGTGATTCCAACTGAAAACCCGAAACCCAAACCCCCATAAACTTAACTCCCATACCCGCTACACTCCGAAACCCCACACCCTAAACTCATAAAACCCGAAACCCCCCCAAAAAGAATCCTAGAATCATAACGCCTAACGGTAAACGCTAAAGTCCCAAACTGGAAGCCCTAAACCTAACTCCTAAAAGCCTACACCCCAAACTCCCAAAACCTAAACTCTCAAAACCTAAGCCCTAAACCCTCAACCCTAGAACTCCGAAACCATACTTCTAGGACCCAGACGTCGCCATGACGGTGGGGTAAAGAAGCGGCGACTCCTCCGAGCCCTGAGGGACGAGACTGGCGAGGATTCGTATGAGGAGGGATCCTAAAATAGGGGTAATTGTTAGAATAGGGTTCCTTTAAGGGGATCCTTTAGAGGGGTCTTAGGGGATCTACAGTAGGGTTCTATGGAAAAGGGGCCTCAACAATTGGAATAGGATTTTGGGACCCGTTATACATTATATATAATAAGGAGCCAACCTTCTAGATCCCACTTTAAGGGGTCCTTTCAAGGGCTCCTGTACGGATCTTTTAAGGTTTTAGGGTTGATGGGGTTTAGCGGTTTAGGGGTCTAGGGTTTAGAGGTTAGTGGTTTAGGGTTTAGGGGTTCTTGTAAGCCTTACTTGAAGAGCTCCGAAGCATCCTCTCGGTCTGGAGGTTACAAGGCACCGAAGGCCTAATATAGGCCCTTAATACTTAGTATCTATATAGGGTTTTGGGGCCCGTTATGCTATAAACATAATAGGGAACCCCCGCAACAGTATTGATAATTATTACATAAGGCTCCTAGAATAGTCCCTGAAGTTTAGATCTCGCGCTGAGAATACGGATCCTTTAGGGTCTAGGGTTTCAGGATCCTTAAGGGGTTCCTGTGAGGCCTACTTCAGGGCTGCAAGGCCTCCTTCAAGTAGAAGGCATCCTTTAGGGTTTAGGGTTTAGGGTTTAATCCTGTCAGGGATCTCTTGAAATGGAGGGTTCCTTGAAAAGGAACCCTTCAAGGATGTGTAAGGGCCTTCTTAAAGGGGTGCCGTTAGGATCAGGTTGTACAAGGCTTACTAGGATTCCACAATGGTTACTATAGGGCTCCTTCTACGCTTCCTTTCGGAATTCCTTGAAGGCTTCTTTCAGGGTTCCGGTTTGGGGCATCGGGTCCGCGAGTTAGATCGACGGCGCCATCGACTCCGCCGCTGTCATCCAAGTGAAGCGGTCCGTCGCCGACGAGAGGCGCGCGGAAATCGTGGTTCCTCTGGCCGACCCTCCCGCTCACGTCGGGAACGGCTAACTTCATCACTCGCGCATGGGGAAACGTTAGAGCGGTCGAGCAGCGTGAATCCGATCGCTCGAAATCGTTCCCACGGAAGCCCGAAAACCCTCTGCAAAAGCCCGAAATCCTCGCCACGACAAACCGGTTCGTGGCGGTGTGCATGTCGCAACGCCGATTGCGTTCCCTCTAGTAGGCTCCCTGGTTCTGAAGAACACTGTGCCTGGTCGGCTGGCTCGCGTGTCTTTCAAAGCCGTCTCTTCTCCGCCGTTGTTTTGAGGGGGTTCATGTCATCGGCCACGTAGACAAAAAGCCTGAACAATTACCGATGCTTTTGTTTCGGGCTCCTTATTTGTAGTGTTACGGCTTCTTAATTTGCTTTTACATACCCCAAACCTTTGTCCGACTTACTACGGCCCGGGAAGTAGTCCTTGATTATCATCTGGCTTCTGGTTTCGAATCAGCCTCCCGGCTAGTCGTAAGCCTTGTATGCACAAACAGCACAAAATAGACAATTCTTGTGTTGGCGATGTAATAATTTAGATTCAGTTATTTTTCAGTTATATATACATATATATATATATGTGCAGATACAACCACGACAGACGACACAACAAGTACTTGCGAGGCGACCAGGGGCCGATGGGAGGGTGGCTGTGCCCGCCTCCAGCTATAAACCTGAAGATTTATGGTTTAAGGGTTGGGGTTTTGGGTTTAGGGGTTGGGGTTTAGGGTTTCGGGTTTCGGGTTTAGGGTTTAGGGTTTAGGGTTTAGGGTTTAGGGTTTAAGTTTAAGGTTTAGGATCACCCTTAGAAGAGCCTTCTAGCTTAAAACATCCGTGCTGCAACACCTGTTCACACAAAAGGGCCTATAGACATCCGAACACAAAGCAACACTCCCAGTACAAGGACCATGTTAAGACCCGGAATCCTCAACTACTGTTGATGATATAAATCCTGCATTACCCACAATAAGGACTATGCCATAACTCCCATAGTCTGGAGTCCTTAAGGTAATGCAGGATTTCTATCATCCACCGTAGGTGGGCTTACGACCCATAATCCGCCACAGTAGCAATCAAGACCCTGTGAAGAGCAACCAAAATCCTTCGACGGCTTTTCGATGAGTTTTCCCTAAACCCTAAACCCTACCTTAAACCCTAAACCCTACCTTAAACCTTAAACCCTAAACCCTACCCTAAACCCTAAACCCTACCTTAAACCCTCAACCCTAAACTTCTCGCTCCGCCGCCTGCACCGTGGTGGTCGTGACCTCCAGCACTGAAAGGCAGAGCTGGCCTCGCAGTGGTCCCGGATACGGTCTACTTCGAGGTTCATGGGTAGTTATACTAGGATGCCCAGTAACCTAAGAATAAAAAAGCCTTCTCTTTTTGGTATTGGGTAACTTTATAAGGAACCTAGGACTACAAAAAGGGAATAAGGGTACTACGGGCATCCTAGTATAAGTGGGGTTATACGGCTTCCTTTAAGGGTCCCTTTAAAGGGTCCTATGGGGATTTAGGGTTTAGGGATTAGGGTCTGGGGAAGTTATAAATGGGGTTATGAGTCCCCTAACATGGGTTTTAAGTATAGTAATGTTACAATACTTGTAACCCTAGTTATAAGTATCCATGAACCTCCAAGTAGGGTTGGGTTGAGGGTTTAGGGCTTTTAGGGCTTTTAGGGCTTCGTCGGGCTTTTAGGGTTTTAGGGGGGTTTTGGTGTTATGTTAGGGGTTGAAGGTTTTTCCAGAGATTCTGGGCTTAGGGTTCAGAGACTCCAAAAACGCCGTAATTTGCTCTGCTTCTGTGGTTTACTGCATCTCTTGCCGTCAATGACGATGCCCTCCTTGAGGTTGGTGTCGATCGCCCGCGCTCCGTCGTCCACGTCACTGGTAAGTGCCGACCCCGTTTGGCACACTCCATGCCCCTTCTGTCGGTAAAGAGTGCGATCCACCTGATACATCGGGTGGCGTACGCCAGGGCCGCTCGGTTGAGAATCGGCGCCTGGACGCTGGTGCAAAGCGTGGCGTGATACCGCGCCAAAGGCGCGAGTCCCCCTAGCGAGAAGTCCATCCCGGTGGCATCCGAAGAAACGAGGTTGCCGTCCTTGCTGGAAGACCTCATCGCGTCGAAGCCATCCATCACCCTGTTGAAGGCTTCGTCGTTGGACGACAAAGTGCCTTAATGAAGGATTAATCACCACCAATTTGAAGTATGTTGCTGAGTCCAATGATTCTCCAGGCTTCTGTGGTGCTTTGCTGGAGTTGGCTATGAATGGCTACAGGGTTCTACCAGGAATTCTGCAGGTTTACGGTGCGCTAGCAGGAAATATTGGGACCAATAGCGGTGTAAGTTTTCTTGCTTACCTGGGGGCCAAGAAAACCTGCCTTTTCAATTACTTACATACCAAAAACCATACATAAAGTGTAGGTTTTCTTCGCCTACGGCCTGCAGGGCTTACCTAAACCCTGAACCCGAAACCCCAAAGCTTTGTGGTATAATTTACTTTGACCCTACAGTAAACTCCACAAAGTTGGAAACCGAATTAAGGCCAAATAGTGCTGGGATTCCCTATACATTAATCTTAAGGATTGAGGCTATTGGGTTTCCAACTTTTGGGCTTCTGCCATAATGCAGACCAAGCACTCTCCAAGTTCTGCAAGTAGCCCTGGGCCGTCAGCTCGTAGAACTGATCCTGGAATTTTGGGGTTTTAGGGTTTAGGGGTTTAGGGGTTTAGGGTTTAGGGAGCTCAAGCTTCGGAGGATGTAACCTCGTCGAGCTGATGCTCTAAGTTGGGGCTTAAGGTTTAGACGGCTCGGGGCCGAGGACTTCGCAGAAATTAGGATAGGGATATCCCATATAAACCCCCTCGTAATGAAGCCCAAGCAGGTAGGGACATCCCGACATAGTGCTTATGCTTATGTCCTTCTTGGGCTCCCTAAGGACTGGTGCTTTGGTTTCGACAAACAGGCGTCAATACCGTAGAAAACTGAACTAGACTGATAGTACTTACACTGCTCTTTGGCAGGGGCCCATAAAGGCTTGTGCTAGGTTGGCGATTGGCAAGGTAAAGTGCTGCTGCGATATCGCTGGAGCTGTAGCATGAGCACGACATACCTACAAACCCCACTATACTGAACTTAGAACCCTAGCAAAAATCATGATTTTAGCTGTTTCTTAGGGATTATAATAACCAAAAATTAAAAATTATTTCTAAGTACCCCTAAGCCCAGCCCAAGAGTCTACAAAGCTCCTCGAAAATCCTGTAGCGAAATGCAAAACGACAAGAAAAAACTCAGCGGAGCCGAACGGCAGTGGCCGGGTTCTGCGTCTGACACTGCTGCAATGTGGCCGTGGTCAAATCGAAATCTAGGCACGGAGGGTGCGCTTCAAGGATTCCGGCAAGGCTTTTTGGGTTTGGGGGTTCGGGATGTTCGAGGTTTAATTAAGGTTCCGTGCTCTGTCCGGAGCTATTCCTAAGCCTACGGGTTCTCTAAGGATTCCCCAAGGGTTCTGCACTGTGTGGGGAGCTATCCCTAAACCCTGAATCTTAAGGAGTCTTTAGGCTTGTTTCTTTGCAAAAATAGGCTTCCGGGGTCTGGGAGTACGAATGTTAGGATTTGCAAACATAATAACAATAGTATTGAAATACGATGCTAACATCAATAACAGATTCATAAAAGGGGGTATATTATCTACATTAGTATATACACATGCAAATACAATGTCTACATACCGTATATAGCTGACTGTATATGTATAATGTAAGGAGTTCATAACATGTACACAACAACACATCATATTCCAAAAGGGAAGAGTAATACTAGTAGTTACGACTATATATATATATATATATGTACATACGGTTATAGGTAGATGTAAGGATGTAGATAAAGGTATATATATATATACATAGAGAGAGAGAGAGAGAGAGAGAGCGAGAAAGAAGGAGAGAGAAAGAGGTGGCGCGGTATACAAATATGCACACATAATGTGTTGCGTATGTGTATGTGTATATACATATATGCAAACTACATACAATTTAGTAAAGTCTCCCATATTCGTGAAGCACAGCTAACATGTTATGGAATATGTACATGCATATTTGCGTGTATACATATGTATATAACAACATCGTGATGCGAACCTATGTGACAATGCATTAGGTACATAGTTACATCATAGTTACATACTATGTATTTTCATAATAATACATAAGATACGGTATGTAACATAATCAAACATGGTAAAGGACAATACAGTAATATATGTTAGTATAACAAAGCATAACATGACATGGTAAACTAGCGCAGCACGATAAATACAACGTAACATGACAAACATAAGACAACGTGTGTATATATAGAGTAGTATAAACCATGTAAGGACAGTGGTAAGATGCAGTAACATACAGTAAAATGAAACATAACATATGCTGTATATGCATATATACACACAAGCTGCAATATGCGTATGGCTATATATATATATGCATATGGATATTATCTTGTCATGTACAATATGACTTTTCATGGTTCTGGATAACAAGGCTACTGTTGTCATGGCTTTGCGGCTTTTGGCTTCCGGGTTTAGAGACCCAAAGCCCTATAAACCCTAAACCCTAAAGCCAATGCCATAAAACCCGAAACCCTGAAGCCTACACCCTAAACCCTAAACCTTTTTCCGGGCTGAATAGCTTCAAGCCCTCAACCTACACCAGGTTTACACACTTTGGAGGTTGGAATCTCGGGCGTGGGAGGGTAGAAGACAAAGGATTGAGACCTTGCATTTACTTAGGGGTTTTAGTGTTTTCTGTTTTGTGGTTGAGGGTTGCTTGGGGGTATTGTGGTTGAGGGCTGCTTAGGGGTTAGGGCTTCATACCCAAGTTATGCTGAGCTCCTGCCACTAGCCCCACAAGAAACACGCAGAAGCCCGTGAACTACGTGGGCACCCAATACCCTAAGTGCTGGAGTGAACCAGCAGGTTGAGTAGAGGATGCAAGTGGAGTGATCAGGTCCCCTGCAAAACTCAACCCAGCCATAGCTCACACAAGGCGGAGATTTTACGCACAAGAAGAAAGCAAGCAAAAAGAAGTCTGTGCTACTTGGGCTTGGCACCTACAGATATGGTACATGTGTTGTTAAAATGTCATGCTCAAGGCGTTCTGTGCTTGGGCCTAAGAGCAACAAGGAAAAAGATTCCGCATATACACATAGCAAAGGCTTGCAAACGAGGCATGCACTTCAGCACTCCTCCTTCGCAGCCCCGCCAGGGAGTTGCGACCTACTTGCTACTGCAGGTCCAACCCGTCAGGGTGACGACACACCTACCCTGAACTACCTGGCAAAAGCTGGGCCAACTGCCCTCACTATGCGAGGGCTCTCAAGGCACCTCGTGTAGGAAAAAGACACAGCTACGGATGAGCTCACTGAGAGATCCAACCCGTTAGGGTGGAGTAGTTCCTACCCTGTGCTGTGCTGGGTGTGGTCTGCAGCGCTGCCGTGGCACTGCTGGCACACTTGAAACTCAACAAACCTGTGCGAGTGGGCGAGCGTGGAACAGGTCTTAGTGCGGTGGAGCTTGGTCCCTTCGGGGTTGCAAAGTAACGCGTTGGTGCTCCACCTGCCTGCTCACGCGTGCGAGTTGTTTGTGAGGGACGGCGTCTGGGCGCTGCAGCAACAGACTGCGAGCTTGCTGCCTCCTCACGTGCAGAGATCTCGGCCTGGATGGCCTGCGCAGTTTGATCTCGAAGGCGCTGTAACTTGCGCGCCTTGCGGGGGCTCAGAGACAACACGGGTGTCCCTGCCTCTCGGCGGGAGATGACGCCTTGAAGGCACCACTTGAAGAACTCCCACACTGCAATGAAGCAGATACCAATGCAGATGATGGATACTGCCAACATCAAATCTGCATCAAGCGACACGGGGAGAGACAAGTCTTCTTCCTCGTCCGTTGTCTGGCTGGCAGCACCTACGACCTGAAAGAAGGCGAGTAGGACAGCGAAGGCACTCAGCTGCAGGTCTTGCTGCGCCACGGTCCCAGTGCCCACAGCTTGAATTTCACTGTAGGCCTGAGCTTCCGCCCGGCGAGGTACGCCATGCTCGCGCAAACCCCAGATGGCTGCGAGCTCAAGGATCCTCGCAGATGGCAGCGCCTTCGTCAGAAGATCTGCGGCCTGCTCAACTCCTGGGCAGTAGACAGGGATGATCTCACCAGACTCATACTGCTCTCGAAGGTAGTTGGCGCGCACCCTTAGGTGGCGGGTTCGCCAAGACCCTTGGCCGATAGCGATGGCCAGTGCAGACTGTGAGTCAACCCTCAAAGTCTTGTCGAAGCTCGAAACCCCGAACTCGCTCAGCATGGCCTCTGCTGACTGAAGGGCAACTACAGCGTCAAGTCCAGCAACAAGCTCGGCTTCTGCGGTGCTGAGGGTGACAAAAGACTGTCGTGCTGAACGCCAGCACACCGGCGACCCGTGAAGGAAAACCACCCACCCCGTGTGAGAACGATTCCCTTCCGGCGCATAGCTGGCATCACTATACGCGATCAATCCTGTGTCATCCGCATCAGCGGTGAGAGCCAGCGCCTTGGTACGCTGCACATACGCAAGGGCCTTCTCTGCAATGCGGATGGCTCGTTGCGGCGCCTTCGTGCTGAGAGAAGCAAGCACACAAGCAGTGAAAGCTAAGTCAGGCCGAGTGCGTTGGCTTAGCCACAGGATTTCTCCAGTCAGCCTCTGTGCTGTTCGAACGGTCTCCTCGGTTGGGGACTCGTCCGTCAGGAGAGTGTCAAACGAAACAAGGTCACGCGGACAGGGGACCTTACCTAGTGCAGTGGGCTTCACGTCGTTGAGACGCAGCAGCTCTTCTGCGTAAGCCTGCTGGGACAACACAAACCCGGAACCAAGCTTGCACTAGGATTTCAACCCCTAAAAACCTCAGCGGGTGCTCTGCGGTGGCAAGTGCGAGAGGCGTCGTCTTCCAGATGCCTTGGATGGCCGTGGCCAAGGCTTCGATTACCTCTTTACTGCCTGCCAGCAAAAAGTCGTCAACGTAAGTGAGCAACCCTCCTACGACTACCCCGTCAGAGGTGCGAACAACACGCCACCAGTTTGGGTCCAACCTTCCTTGCTGGAGCTGCAGTTCAACTCCGTCAACAACACACCTCAGCGCCCGAAGTTGGCAGTCTCTAAAGTCCGACCAAAGCTTAGGCGACTCCCTCAACCCGTACACAGCGTGCGTGAGGATCCAAAGCTCCCCTTCCTCTGCCAAACCTAGTCTCACTAGCAACCTAGGCGGTGTGAGAGCAAACACTGGAAAACCTCTGCCTTGCGGGATTGGGGTCAACAGAAAAGCTGAGGTGACATCTAGAGACCCGATGCACCAATTCCTCTTGGAGCTGATGATTACAAAACAACGGAGTGTCTCTGCAGCAGCACCTGAAGCGTAGACTTCAGACCCTGTGCCGGGGGCGTGGTTGCCACAAGCGACCAAGCGAGCCTTGCGTTTGTGGTAAGCTTGACCCTTCCGGGTAGCGAGGGCAGCGTCACCCTCAGAAGGGTCTGGTGGCTTGACTGTAAACACAAACTTAGACGGAACTACCTTCACTTCCTTACGCCTAAGCCAACCTCCCGAACGGACCTCTGCAGGGGGCAGTCGCCGCACAGCCTTCTCAATGACACCGATCTCTTTGTGAATGGACGGCATCCACTTCTCGATGCATTGCTCTGCATCCCGAGGGTCTACAGTGTGGACTACCTGCAGTGGTTCTTGCAACCCGTCAAGCAACAGCTCCACGTTGGTAGTGTAAACCGGCTCAGACTTGCAAAGGGCGCAAGCTTCACTCGCGTCCGAGTCGTCAGACCTGAGAACACACAGCTGCTCACCTGTCTGCGGGTCTGGAACCCACAACTCCCACAGCACTGGTTGCTCCGGCAAGGAGTCTTCGCTTGAGCTCTCCTCCTCCTCAACCTGTGTCTCGGTGTCTGGTTGGCAAGCCAGCAGGGCGTGCTCAGACTGGGTTCGCCTGTGGTCCGGCGAGTGTTTCAGGTTCCACGACACCTCCAGCTCTACAGTACCTGCTTCTACGGCTTGGGTTTCTTTCCAACCTCCGCCTTTAAGCACAGTCCCAGGCGCTAACTCAGAAGTCTTCCCGTCAGGGTGACGTGCCTTTGTCTCCTGAAGGGGCTCTTCTTCGAAGCAGTCAAACGCGTCTAGACGTCTCACGTCTTGCTGCTCAGTCAGCGGTAAACGTACCGACGCTGGGAGTGGAAAACCTAAAGCTTCAAGGCTTTGAAACTCGTGCTCAAGCTCTTTGCCTAACGTGTTGACAGTGTAGCCGACAAGCACTGCTCTCTCACCCTTCCAGGGAGTGGTGGCGTGGCGGCGAGTAGGGTCTAGGAAGAAGGGCTTACCGCGCTCTAACTTGTGAGTTGTCCCTAACCAGCGCCTGCCTTTGCCGTCTACCCGCTCCTCTACAGGGCCACTGACTAGGTCACCAGGCTTGAGTTCTATCCACAAATCCCCTCCGTTAGGCGGGAGCTTCAAAGGGAGGACTACATTTGTGGATCCCTGCAGGTTGTGGTGGTCGGCGTGCACGGGTTGAACAGTGGAGTTAGACAACCAAAGCGAGGTGTACTCTGCTGTGGGTGCAACTGCCGAAAGCACCATATTCATAAGCTCTGTCAGCCAAGGCTTATCTGTGGTACCCCCTAAAACTCCTACGACACCTCCGTGACGGTACAACCCAGCTTTGTGTTGCAGCTGGGGCGCTGCTCTGCACACTTCGGCTAACACCCACAACGCTTCATCAAGGTCCCAGTCGTCCTCGATAAGCTCCGTAGCTAAACCTTCAAGGTCTTGCAGACTCAAGCGCGCTACACGGGCAGACTCCTCCTCAACCGGTGACACAGGCCCTTCCGGGTGTGGAGCTTCTGCTGGCGGCGGCAAGGGGGGCGGCGGGTCAAGTGCAAAGACGTCGTCAAGTCTCACACCAGCAGACCGCTTGCCGCGAACCCTGCGTGGAGGTGGTGTGTGCTCCTCCTCAAGCGAGTCTCCTACAAACTGCAAGGGCGGTGGATCCGGAGAAACAAGGCGGGTGCGAACATGGAGTGTTTGCACAAAGCCGTTGCCAACACCATCGCTGCGCAACACGATGTGACCATCATTCACAGATGGTGACAACCCCATATACTTACCTTCAACCCATCTATCCTCCAAATCACCCTTCTTGCTAAAAAACTTTCGCTTCACGGAACACTTCCCTCCGAAATGGATGGCAAGTTTGGACTTCATGCCCAGCTGCTGCGCCCGTTGCTGAGCCGCAGCTGTCATGATTGCACAAGGCCACAAGGACGAGTCAACCTCGCCAGAGGTGAGAAGGGTTCGTGCTCGTGCTTTGAGCCAGCGCACGGTGTTCTCAGCAGAGCCGTTCTGCTGCGGAACGTCCCCTTCTGTTGTTGTTGTGCGGACTCCACGCTCGTGAAACCAAGCTCGAGTCCTTTTGTTGAAGAACTCACGACTGCGGTCTGTGTGGAAACGAAGCACGGGGAGGTTTAGGGACCTTAGGGTAATGTACACCTGTTGGAGGGCATTGAGGATATCATCACCCTTGTTTGTGTGAAGTGGCACTGCAAACACCAGCCTCGCCATGTCAGGTGGTGTTTCGAGTTCACACCTGGCTGACTCCCAGGGATGCTCCTCGGCAACTTTGGCTGCAAACTCCCTAGGCCCTTCAACTCCTTCACCTTCCGCCTCCTCCTCCTCTTCTTCCGCTAAACTTGGCTCGTACAGGGAGTCCTCGTAATCCTCGCACGGGGGGCCTTCTGCTGCGGGAAAGGCCTCATCTGCAAGGTCATCCGTCCCTCCCGGGAGGAGTGCTGCATCATCAAACCCCTCGGTTTGGCTGGGGTCTGACTCCTCCTTCACTCCTCTGAGCCGTGGGAAGCGGTACGACACAGCGAGGAAGTACTTGAACGTGGCTGGTCGGTGGTTGCGGCTTTCTGGGTCTTTGCCCTTCACACGGATGGGCCCCGCAATGTCGGCTGACATGCAATACACATCCGGGTGAACTACACCGTGGTGGCGGCGGCCGTTTCCGGCACCGTGCACGCAAACTGCACAATCACGGCGGTAAGGCACGTGATTGTTCGCAACATGCTGTTCCCAATCCGCTTGGGTGAATTTCATGAGGCGGTAACATGGCCACCGTTGGAGTGCGTACACGATGGCTTGCACAAACCCCGGCGCCCACACTGGAGACACACGGTTGTCGGCGCTAGAACAAACCTGCGGCACCTCCCCCTGCAACGCTTGCAAGTCTCTAAGGTCGGGCAAGTTTGTGCCAACAGTTGTGGGTTTATCGCCAGCGTGCCCCAACGGACCTTGACGGAAATGCACCTCAAACAAACCAGCCTCTTCAGCGTAAGCTTGCCACAGCGCGGTGTTCCAAAACGACGGAGCGCTACCCACAGCAGAATGGCTTGAAGCCATGTGGTGTTCAACCGACGGTTGCTCCAACATGAATGCCACCATGGATGTTCCATTCGATGGGTTTGGGTGCACACGCCTCCCGGCGGTGGAGAGTGCATGCAACCACAACATGCGAGCATACAAACCCGTATCACGATCAACGAGATCACGCTCGTCAGAGGTGAGAGTGCTCAGGCCAAACGGTTCAGTGGGCGAGCGGAGTGGATGTGGTCCATCGGCGCGGTGCCCTGTCATGGACCACGTGCGGGTTGGTGGACCTCCAATGACCGCCGCAACTCGTCCCAACTTTGCAACCTTAGCAAGAAGCGTCCAAAGCGGATCATGGTAAAGATCTTGGCTCCTTGAGCGGCAAATGTCAAGCTCAACAACAACTGTATCCTGCGACTCCAATCGTTTGAAAGCCTTGTGCGAGCCAGGGCCCGCAAACAAGTGAACAACCCAATTGGATGCTCGATGAAGCGCCTTCCTCCTTCGCCGGTTGAGGTTTGGCATGCCTTCTTCAAGAGCCTTCCACAAAGTCTTGGAGTCCACATCTTCCGATGGGAGTATGCCTGACAATGCACGGTCGGGCACATCCTGAAAGAATGGAGCTGTTGACACTGCCATGTGGCCCGATGCTGGCGCCGACGAGCTCACATGCTCAACCAAATGATCCCACCACGTGCGCTCCATTGCGATTTTCGCCTGTCTGATGCGATCCTTCCCCTCATCCGTTCTTCGCCTGAGCTCCTCAACCTGTTGCATTTTGTGTTCTTCCAACCGTGATATCAGCGTAAGGGCTTGGCTCTCAACCAATTCCGGGCAACCATTTTTGACCCTAAGCCTCAACGACTTACCATCAGGAGGATACAGCTTGCAACTACCGGCGGACCAAACCAGCTTATACCCCAACTGCTCTATGATAGCACCCATGGGAACAATTGGCTGCACTAGGCCGTCCCTTCCGGGTGGCAGTAGGAGAGTGCCCGCGCGCGTCAAACGCATGATTGTGCTTTGGTCGCCGGCTAGACTCACTTGCACTTCCTCTGCGGTCTCCCACTCCTCCTCAGATGAGGCTTGTCGCATGGGGTGAGTGGCACCGGAGTCGAGAAGGGCGTAGCCAATGAGAGGTGGTTGGGATGCAACGGGTGATGGCTCCACAGCGGGCTCAACGGCAGGAGAATTCAAAATTTCCCGGTTTGGGGGGCCCGAAACCGGGAAACAACTTGAGGGCATGACGGAGCGAATCGTGAGCCTCTTCACCGAAGGATTAGGTGCCGAGGACTGTTGTGATGCAGTACTTAAGCCTTCCGGCTGAGGCTGAGGCGGATCGCTACGCGGTGGCTGGGCCTCGAGCTGCCTCAAAGCTTGGACTGCCTGTTGCATAAAGGACTCGAGCGTGACGGGCATGCCATTCGCGATAGGTGTAGCCTGCACTGGCGCTTGAGGTGTTGATGCTGATGGTGATGTTGCATCCTGTGCTGCTGCTGTGGTCCTTTGCACCGTGGGCTTATCGGGTGATTTGGCATCGGACTTCGCGCCCTTGCCAACGGGACAATCCTTCGCACGATGCTCCTCAGAGCCACACACCAAACACTTTTTAAACCGCTCAGCCTTAGAGAGCTCGGTCATGGAATGTGGGAATTTGCACTTAGGGCCATTTCTACACCCCTTCCGGGAGAGAAAGAACTTACACGGCTTGGCACCTGCTCCTCCCGAGCCTTTCCCCTGCCCCTGAGGTTGGTTTCCACCACCTGGTGCATCTGTGGTTGCATTCAACGCTTGGGCTTTGGGATTGGTGACTACGCGCTTTGAGTCCAGTGCCCCAGCCATGGTTTCAAACTCACCCAGCAAATGCTTGTGGTAGTCTAAAACCTCTTCTCCCGATGGGTGCAGATCAATGTGCAGTGCAGATCAATGTGCAGTGCACTACGCACGATTTGAGTGCGGAACTGCACATCTGGGTGTTTGGCTATGTGTTGGGCTGTTACCGTGGTTAAACCACGGGCCAGAATGGACGGATCAGGGGCTACCATCCCGCACTCCAAACAACGACGATGCCAACGACCCCACGACCTCAACAAGTTTACTCCTGCAACCACTTCCGTAAACTGCGGTGGATCATGCAAGTTCCTGAGTATGAGGTCGCGCTCATTGGTTCCACCTGGCTGGTAAATCGTATGGAGGCGGAACATGATGTGTGCTGCATTTTGAGTTGCCCTGCGTGCTACGATGTCCGATTTCACAGACGCATCCAGTGCTTCCAACAGCATGGCACACGCCCTAGCGTTTACCCTTGACCACTTGCCCTCAGCAACCTCCGCCCTATCATCAGGAGCCACCCTCAAACGCTCCACGGGGGACGAAACACTCCAACGGGCAAATGCATCACGCGCCAACTGCAACACACTCGACCACCAAAGTTGAGAGCTGTCCGAAAGATCAACCATCAAGCCGCTCACCAATTCAAGCCAGTCTTGAAACTCCAAGGAGCCACCCGAAGGATTAGGCGCAACGAGTTTTGGCAAGGTGGTGATCCCTGGTTTAACCGTTTCGGGCACATCATCGCCTTTAGCCTTGAGCTGTTGAGCCTGTAGGCTTTGCAGCTGTTGCACCCCCAAAACCAGAGCATCCAACACTGAACTTGGGGCTTGTGGTGTTGTGTCCTGCCCTCCTGGAGTCGATGCAACCTGAGCGCCTACAGCCTGAGAATATGGCACTTGCCCGTCCCTTCCGGGCGGCGGTGGCGGCGGTGGTGGCTGCCCTACGTTGGTGGTAAAGCCATCTAAAACCGGTGGATTGGCTGGTCCACCTAAGCTCGGAGCCCTCAACTGCCCCAAACCCAGGATTTCGGGCTGAGAATGGGGGTTTGGGCCAGAAGAGGCCCGCTCAGGACCTGAAGCGAGTGGAACCTGTGCTGATTGAGCCATGGGCTCTGACACAGACCCAACCCTTCCGGGTGGTGTAGCACTGCCCGGCAGCCTTTGCGAACCTTGCAAGCCCGACCACAAGTTGGACCAAAACCCTGATGTGGATGCTGGAGCTCTCAGGGCCTCAATGACCTGATCAGCCAAAGTTGGGATGACAGGATTCGCACTTGGAGGCGCAGCACTGGGGAAAGGTTGAGGAGGGATTGGCGGGTGCCCACTAGGGGTCTGCGTTTGGATGCTCCTGGCAAGTGCTGCTTCCCTAATGGCTCGCTCCCTCTGCTCATTCGCCTCTGCTAGTTGCTGCCTTAACCTCTCATTTTCGGATTCCTGTGCCTGCGCTCTGGCCTCAAACCCTGCAAGCTGCCTGGCGACCTCTGCTTGGATAGCCTCCTGGGGTATTGACGACGTCTCCGTACGGCTAGGGGGCCGCTCAGGGGCTGCAGATCTAGGGTAGATGATGGGAGCCCGCTGCTCAAGAGCTTGCATGCGCTGCAGCGTTTCCGCATTAAGTAGCGGGGGTTCCCTTCCGGGACCCGGGGCAAAGGTAGTGGGTGTGCCGAGTGATCCCGGCTGCGGCGGCGAACTACTTGACCCCACACTCCCATCTGCCAAGGCCCTCGCCCTAGATGTTGCACCCGGGCTTGCGTGAACATGTACATGACGTGGCGGTGTCTGGGCCTGCACCTCAGTCCTTGCCACGCGGAACAACTCGGAAACACGAGACATAAAAACACCAGGGATACCCTCAACCATCTCGGTGATGGTGGTCAAACCCTGTTGCGAACGTGGGGTGACAAACCCCTCAACTCCAGGAGCTTCCTCAGTTGACCTTATGCCCCCCAAACCACCATCACCACTTTGGTCTGCAACCTCGCGGTCCTCACTCAAAGTGTCCTGACGGGGCTCAGTGTTGGCCCGTGGTCCTGGGCTTCCGCCCGGAGCTGCAAAGGCAAGTGGCATGCTTCGGGGCATACCCTGCTCAATCCCACCCTCACCGGTGGTCGACACATGTTGCAAGCCTTCTGCTGGGTCTGTGCTAACACGCGCCCTTCCCGCAGCCGAATCAACCACAAAACCCAAACCACCCTCTGTGCGGCGGTGGGTGCATCAGGTGTTGTGGACGTCGCATGCCCTGTGGTGCCATAGCCCTGCGTTGGGCTCATAACCTGCTGGAGTGAACCAGCAGGTTGAGTAGAGGATGCAAGTGGAGTGATCAGGTCCCCTGCAAAACTCAACCCAGCCATAGCTCACACAAGGCGGAGATTTTACGCACAAGAAGAAAGCAAGCAAAAAGAAGTCTGTGCTACTTGGGCTTGGCACCTACAGATATGGTACATGTGTTGTTAAAATGTCATGCTCAAGGCGTTCTGTGCTTGGGCCTAAGAGCAACAAGGAAAAAGATTCCGCATATACACATAGCAAAGGCTTGCAAACGAGGCATGCACTTCAGCACTAAGCCTTACACACTAAGCCCCTAAACCCCTACACCCTAAATCCCTAACCCCTAAACCCCCTAAACCCTAAACCCCTAACCCCTTCTAGATCCCTTTGAGGAACCCCTTATAAGGATCCCTTTAAAGGAAACCCTAAATCCCGGTTGCAGATACCTGAGCTGCAGGCTAGATGGATCGACGCATTTGCCGTGCTGCACGTTCCGAAGCCTTGTTGGGAGTGCACTACAGGGGGGTTTAAGGTTTAGGGTACAGGGTTAAGGGTTTAGTATATGCCTTATGGGGGTAATATAGGGATTATTATTTTTATTTTTTGGGTGGTTCTTAAGCAAATAGTAGCTTGGGAGTGTACTACAGGGGGGTTTAGGGTTAAGGGCTTAGCGAGGTCTGAAGGATAAGTGACTAGTATAGTGATATTGGGTCGTTCTTATACCCCGATTCTAGAATATCTCCGAAAAGCCTATCCTACTTATGTAGTACGATGTGTCAAATCCTTATGCAAGTCTAAAGGCCCCCATCAACCCCTATAGTACTCCACCTGCGCGAGCAGGATTGATTGTCTGAGGGGCACCTTCGTCTTCAAAGAGACCCTCCCCTACTAAACCCGAAACCTGAAACCCTATACCCTAAACCCTGAAAACCCCACGCCGCAGAGTTGACGGAGTCCGCATACCCACTACAGCAGGATTACAAAGGGCACCTTTGAGGGTCCTTGAGCGGCCCCTTGCTTACTGCTTGGAGGCCCTTTTGACTTAGTAAGTAGGGTTAGTAAGGTAAGTTATGGGGATTATAATAGGGTTCTTGGGGATACCAAGTAGACATACTAAGTCAAAAGGGCCTCCAAGTGTACCAAAACACGAACAACCACCAGAACTGCCACGTTTTTCGTATGGCCGACTCTTTTTAGTATCACGGATATACATCAAGGGCCTACAAAAGGAGTAGGTCCAGCACTTTGAGGTACAGCAGAAGCCCTGAATCCTAAACCCTAAGCTGTACGTAGACCCGAAATTCTAAACCTTAGAATGTTTGGAGTTTGGGAGTTTAGGGTGCTCGGTTCCGGGGGATGAGAGGGCTTAATTTCGGTGGCCTCACATCGTCAACCCGAAACCACAAGCCCCGAAAAGCCGAAACCACACAAATTTGAGAAACTGGTTAGGAAACCCTGGGTTGCTACAGTGGCTTTTTCTATGGGTGCTACTATTTTTGGGTTAGGGGGATTGATTTCTCATCAGGTTTCTACATAGCTCTTTGTCCGAAAAGGCAAAACCCAAATCAAAAGCGGGGGGGGAAAACCCAAGCCCTAGACGCATGCCCCGCTTCGTCGCCGAGGGACAGCCCACGACGAGGCATCTGCGTTGCATCCACCTCGACGAAGGTCCAC